GCGGGCGACCCCCCAGTAGCCTTTACCCCTCAGTGCCCGCAGGAGCTTCGTCCCACATCGACTGAGAGTCGTCTCCCCCCCTCGCATATAAGTCCTTGCACTCAAAGGAGGAGGTACCCACTAGCGACCTGATCAGGTACCCACTACCCACTAGCAAGATCCTGCACAATATAAAAAACGGGAACAGATCTCTCTCCTGGTGAACTCGAGTGAGCGGGTGGAGTGACCAAACACGCTGCTTGGGACAGCCTGCAAGGTACGGTGGTAACCTGGAACGGCAACGGGAGACCCTGGGAAAGGAAGAACGATCCTGTGAGGCTGAAAGGGGTTCCTGGAACAAAGAAGAACAAGTTAGAAGGGCGCCGGAGTGTTTTTCGGCGTATCCCCTCCGACGGTCTAGTCAGTCTTTGAGTGAGAGAGAGGAAGGAGAAAACACTGAGAAAAATGTATTGTAGTAGAGAGTTTGTTGTTGCATACCCGCTTTGCCTTTTGCAAGGAGTATTTATACCTTAAAAGCTCATGATTGCTGTCAGTGTGGTCAGTAGGTGATCATTAGGTGCAGGTTGCGTGTGCATTGATTCTGNGCTTTGCCTTTTGCAAGGAGTATTTATACCTTAAAAGCTCATGATTACTGTCAGTGTCGTCAGTAGGTGATCATTAGGCTCAGGTAGTGTGTGCATTGATTCTGATGAGGAATGTCTTCTCTAATTAACTGCTCGGGGTCCCGAGCAATCAATGCTGGATCATCGGGATGCCGACTGTACAATGTGCTCCTCTCGGGGAGGATGCAATAAATGCTCTGTAATAGGAGCATTTATTGCCTTTCATTTTCGAGCCTTACCGCATTGAATGCGGTCTCATCAAGGGAATGGTGCAATTAATTGTTTGCTTTCCCAAGTCGCGTGTCAGCAACGGCATGCGGTTTGTCTGTCTCTGATGTGATATCATATGCCACGCGTCCATCCCCTATTGGTTGTGACCTCTGCATTCCAGTACGTTCTGACATTACTTGTGTAAGACGAGGTTATGATGAATAGCCTAGGCTGATGACCTGCACGTCAGTAGCTTATCCTGGAGTAGAGGAGCCGTCCTGGATGGTACACCTCGGCACCGAGGGAAGGGTCATCTCGGCTCCGAGGTAGGACACCGACCGAGGTACCGTATCAGTCCAAGGCCACGTGTCGGGGCAAAGCATACTGAAGGCGTGATCTTATATGCCGGGGTACCTCGGGGGAGAGGGCCTTGTGAGCCGATGGTGCTTGATCTTAGCAACAGTGTTTTAGTAAAACCGAGGACACGTGTCTTCATCATAGGGTATTTCAGAAAAGTCCCATCAGATATAGAGTTGTATGATTTCTTATTAACGACGGTACTCTCTCCATGGAACTGAAGGTGAAGTCGTCTTTTTCTCTTTTTTAAAATTAAGATGAAATTGCTATTTGGAATGTTTAATTCTTTGATGAACAGAGAAAAGAAACGAGTCTTGAATAATAAGCTATTAAACCTTTTTAAAGAAAAAGTGACTCAATGTTGTGGCTGTTCCCTGATGACTAAGGTCCTGATCTCTTTTCTGTTGTTATGACTTGATGACACAGCTTTGGTTTGTTGTTTTTTGATCATGTCAGATGCATATGACCTCTGCTTTACTGTGATTAACACTAACTATTTCACCTTCTTAATGAAGAAAAAAAACATGTAGATATAAGAAATCATCTTGACTCCATTTGTGGCACACCCTTTAGCTATGCATATACTAACAGCGAAATGTTTCACAATATTGCATTGTAATTGTTTTTAAAATGCAGCTGTCTTTGAAATTGCTTCGGAATGCCTTGAAGGCCCCTCTTGTTATCTGCAACCTTTATTCTTTGTTGGTTTCGCACAGGCATAAAATGAAAAGAGAATTCTTTCCAAATAATAAGTGGAAGACAGTACAAGGACTATTTTCCTTATAGTATATGAGGTAGCGTTTCTCTTTGACATGACATGTTTCGCCTAGGTTTTCAGTGGGTTTGAGCTATATATGCCATATAGGAATAGATAAGGTAAGTGTAACCGTTACTGTGGTTGGGATGCAATGTTGTCCTGTTGTCTGGTTAAATCAAACACGAGGCATGTCTGAAGACTGTGATGAGCTTAAGTGCACAGCTTCTTAACTAGTAATAGATTGCTATGGAAAATCAATTGGCTTCGTATGTCACCATAGCAGAACAAGTTTTATTGTCTTGTGTACTTGAATATGGTGTTTAAGTTTGAACTTAAAATGAAGTAGGTTTAAAGCGTATGTTATCTTCCACTAACATTCCAATAGTTTTGATTTGCTTAACTTAAATGGATTATTACAACCATTAGTAAATTTTGTAAAATATTCAATTGAGTTAAAAATATATTGGTGAATGCTACATGTTAATAGCTCAAAAAAAAAAATAAGGTTACCAAATGTTTTTATTTGTGAGTTTCACATGTCTGATGTACTTGGCATCTCCTGTTTAGCTGGAAATAAGTTTTATATATAGATGATAATGATATTGAGTGCATGGGTTTTTCTATTGTTAGTGGTGCGAATATATCTTCATTCACTCTGATTGCCCATCAAAATAAGTGGGAGAAAAATAAGAATATCAATAACTAGTAGATTTGTGATGTATGGAAAGGTCTTCGTTGCAGATATTACATGGATATGTTTCTCCACGGCTGGATAGTTATGTTTTATTTTGTTATTGATGGTATCCCAATACTTGCTGTTGCCATGTGTTGATGATTCCTTGGTCTTTGTTGCATATATTTCAACAGTGTTACTTGTCAGTGGGTTCAGTTTTTCACCAATAAAATGGGTTCTGAATGTTACTTCATGGGAATGCGAATTTTTTTCCTTTTGTTGTATTATCTTTTTGCTCAATTTCGTACTAGGCCGTTCTCAAGCAGTTTGCTGGTGGACTTGGAGGTTCAGATAATATTGTAACTGATGAAGGCGAACTGCAGCAGCATCAGAAACTTGAGAAGCTTTACATATCAACGCGTGCTGGCAAGGTTGACTACAATTCTGATGTTTGTTTGCGCCCCTTAGTGGTCTTTCTTGACTTATACCCCATGTTTTTCTTTCTACCAGCACTTTCAAAGGGATATTGTTCGAGGCGTGGAAGGTTATATTGTTACTGGATACAAGCAAGTTGAAATAGGTGACTTACTAAAACTTTGTTGTCCTCCATGTGATATTTGCCATCATACTGTTCATTACAAAACTTTTGCTCACAGGTACCAAGTTGTCAGAAGACAGCAGGAAGTACAGTGCTGAAAACACATGTACGACTGGGAGTACACTATCCAAAGCTGCCCTAAGTTACAGTATAGCTTGTGCTCAAATGGAAAAGGAGCGTGCAAATTTACTGAAAGCCCTTGGCACACAGGTCTCTGCGAGTGTGGTCATATTCTTATTCTGTGACTATTCTGATATTATTTATTGCATGGGCCTGCTACTAAGAAGATGCAAACTAACAACACGGTATATATTGTATTTAATTGGTGCAGAACTATGATATTATTTATTGCATGGGCCTGCTACTAAGAAGATGCAAACTAACAACACGGTATATATTGTATTTAATTGGTGCAGAACTATGTCATCTTGCACTTGAAGAAAATTAATAGGCAGAATAAAGGCTATGATTTGAAACTCAATCCTTTGGCCTGTTTGCTACTGGATAAATTCAATGAGAAGAGAAATGTTCCACATTTCAGCTGCTAATTTCCATGTACTATGAATGACAAGGTCAAAAGTTTAAAAAGGAATGCCAACAACTTTTGTCCTGAAATTTTTGTTGATTTTTGATGCATCAGAAGTTTTGAATTTCTTTGAAGAATTGGCTGCGAACTTCGAAATTGTGTTGATCAATTCTTGGTATCCAGGTTGCTGAGCCGTTAAGAGCAATGGTAGTGGGAGCCCCATTGGAGGATGCTCGACATCTTGCTCAACGGTATGACAGGATAAGACAGGAAGCTGAAGCTCAGGTAATCCAAGATACTTTTCTACTTCATATCTGCTTGATGCAGTTTGCTACCAATGTTTTGATTTGATATGTGTTGATTGCTACTTGCTGTTTTCGACATAGCTGGAAGTGAAAAAGATTGTAATATCTTGCTAAGCATTGGTAAAGTGATGCATTGAAACCATGAAGTATGTTCTGTTATTGTCCTTTCCAAGGTTATACTCACTTTTTCTTTGGACCCGGACAGGCTATTGAAGTTGTCAGGCGGCAAGCTAAGTTCAGAGAATCCAATGGTAATCCAGATAATCTATTGAAGCTGGAAGCCACAGAAGCAAAGCTTCAGGATCTAAAATCAAACATGGCTATACTGGGTAAAGAAGCTGCTGCCGCAATGGCAGCCGTGGAAGCCCAACAACAGCGTTTGACTCTCCAGCGACTTATAGCGATGGTAATCTATTTTGTCTGGCTTGTTTGATGTAGGTTATGCTCAGCTGTGTCAACATACGTTAGGTATGATGTTTCAGAGGTTGTAATATTGGTATTTGGTTCTTTATTGAAGGTTGAGGCAGAGCGCAATTATCATCAGAGAATTTTGCAGATACTTGATCAGCTTGAGGGAGAGGTATGAGCTCATATGGGGACATCTTTTTGGTGTAATCTTAGATCATTGTTTCTCTGTGTTCTTTTTTTGGAATTACNGTCATCTTGCACTTGAAGAAAATTAATAGGCAGAATAAAGGCTATGATTTGAAACTCAATCCTTTGGCCTGTTTGCTACTGGATAAATTCAATGAGAAGAGAAATGTTCCACATTTCAGCTGCTAATTTCCATGTACTATGAATGACAAGGTCAAAAGTTTAAAAAGGAATGCCAACAACTTTTGTCCTGAAATTTTTGTTGATTTTTGATGCATCAGAAGTTTTGAATTTCTTTGAAGAATTGGCTGCGAACTTCGAAATTGTGTTGATCAATTCTTGGTATCCAGGTTGCTGAGCCGTTAAGAGCAATGGTAGTGGGAGCCCCATTGGAGGATGCTCGACATCTTGCTCAACGGTATGACAGGATAAGACAGGAAGCTGAAGCTCAGGTAATCCAAGATACTTTTCTACTTCATATCTGCTTGATGCAGTTTGCTACCAATGTTTTGATTTGATATGTGTTGATTGCTACTTGCTGTTTTCGACATAGCTGGAAGTGAAAAAGATTGTAATATCTTGCTAAGCATTGGTAAAGTGATGCATTGAAACCATGAAGTATGTTCTGTTATTGTCCTTTCCAAGGTTATACTCACTTTTTCTTTGGACCCGGACAGGCTATTGAAGTTGTCAGGCGGCAAGCTAAGTTCAGAGAATCCAATGGTAATCCAGATAATCTATTGAAGCTGGAAGCCACAGAAGCAAAGCTTCAGGATCTAAAATCAAACATGGCTATACTGGGTAAAGAAGCTGCTGCCGCAATGGCAGCCGTGGAAGCCCAACAACAGCGTTTGACTCTCCAGCGACTTATAGCGATGGTAATCTATTTTGTCTGGCTTGTTTGATGTAGGTTATGCTCAGCTGTGTCAACATACGTTAGGTATGATGTTTCAGAGGTTGTAATATTGGTATTTGGTTCTTTATTGAAGGTTGAGGCAGAGCGCAATTATCATCAGAGAATTTTGCAGATACTTGATCAGCTTGAGGGAGAGGTATGAGCTCATATGGGGACATCTTTTTGGTGTAATCTTAGATCATTGTTTCTCTGTGTTCTTTTTTTGGAATTACATTTATATCCTTGTGTAACTGTCTTGTAGCTTTTGATTTTGGTCATTGACATTCATTCTTGTTCATTGGTAGATGTTATCTGAGCGTCAACGAATTGAGGCTTCACGAAGTCCTGCTGCTGATAATGCTATGACTCCTCCCCCATCCATTGATGAAGTCAATGGTGTGTCTGCTTCTCAAGCATATGGTGGATCAACCGATGCCATGGGATACTTCTTGGTGGAGGTAACTGTGGTTTTGTTTCAAATCATTATTTGTGATACGAGATATCTGCAACCCTTCGCAATCAGTTAAGTCTGCGGTTTTTTTTGTCACTCTGTAGGTCATGCAGTCGTATCAAGCCGAGTCTGATGTGGAATTGACTTTGTCAATTGGTGACTACATTGTTGTCCGAACGGTTCTCTCACCTTTCTTCCCTGCGTGCTTGCGTTTAGCATTTCTATTTGCCAATATACATAATGGTTCTTTTGTTTGTTTGCATTTAATTTTTTGTGATGATTTTAAGTGGTATTCCTCAGTTCACTTGTTTTTCATGATTCCACATAAAGTCAAACCATAGAAATAAACAAATTACCTTCAACAATTTAGTGCGTGCTTGTGTTGTGGACATGATTTCTCCCAACATCTCGTCACTCTCTTCTCCAAGTCTGTAGGTCTTCACCCATTCATGATAGTTACTGAAGATTTCTTGGATATATTAAAATTTATGCTTCCAAGACTTTTGTGATAGCTCATGTTCATACCTGAACAATTCCATTGAAAATGAGAAGAAGCGAACTCTACCCTTATTATGGTTGGTTAATAATCATTCTCTAGCAGTTTTGAAGCCCTGAAAGGAGGATGGCTATTAAATGTAGATGACCAATGTAGAACTTTTACTCACTTCATATTAATGAATACTAGATGGTTTTGACTGAGAGATGACAAACTGGTGAATGCCATAAATGGTTTTTTTATATTTTTTTGCAAAAATAGAAACAGGATGAGCAATTGTGCTGCACGTCTGAGTTTTATTGTTGTCCTGATGTTTGCTATCAAGATGTTTTTTCCATCTTTCATGCCTTGATGAACTGTATTGGGAATGTTCCCTTTTCTGCTTCATTGGTTGTATCCCTTGTTTTGTACTCCAGTCACATGCTTCGATTATTGTTTACTGTTATGATAATGCTGGTTTGTTCTATGAATTTTCAGGTGTCAAACAATGGTTGGGCTGAAGGCGAATGCAACGGGAAGGCGGGGTGGTTCCCGTTTGGGTATGTACAAAGACGAGACCGTGTACTTGCAAGCAAAGTGGCTGAAGTTTATTAAATCTTTTTTAGTGCATTTCCGGTGTATCAAATGTATCAGATTGAATCTTGCATTCCAACAGGTAATGCATGTAAAATTTCAGTTGTTGTGTGTTGGCTGAAGCTGTTTCTATTGCTTGAATTGTATCCACTTTGACGTGCATATATATATATTCACATATATGAGCCAAGTAGATGTTTAGTTTTGTTAGATAGTTCCTATGTCCCGTCCTTGAGGTCGGATATGAAGCAAGCCAACCAGCCATATAACTGTGAGGACAAAGGCACCATTAGAGGTCCCTGTTACAAAGTTGTGTTTTCATTTGATGTGGGGAGACAAGGCCCCAGGACCCCCCAACTAGCCACCCTTTGCACCTTAATGAGTAAGCTATGTAAGCCAGTTCTTTGTTGGTTGGCCTGCCCCCTTGGAAAATGAATGTCAGGTGCTCCCTCCTCCTGAAAGAAGGAATTCCGTCCTCAGCCCCAGCCATGTGTGATAGCACTCCTTACCCGGATAAATTCAATGGAATTTCTCTTACTTGATTCATTCATAATAGTGTATACTTGGAATCATGTCTTCGGAAGTGTTTTTATATTGTGGTTGGTTAAGTTTGTATTAATCCATACAAGCTTGGTGGGTTGACCTATTCATAATCCAAACCCGTTGAAGGTAAATTAATGTTCGTCAATTTATTTTCGGTTTGGTGTAGGATTGACAAATCATAATGGGCAATCCCCATCTCCGTTCTGTTTTCAAAAACTGTATGGTAAGAGTCTTCAGGTACCAGTTGGTCCATGAAACTACTATTCTATTTCAAAAAATGAAAGAAAGCTAACTAGTGATGGCTTGGCTTTGTTATTAGTATGGGATTAGATGTTAAAAATGACAGACAAGAAGTATATTCTAAGTATTGAGCTTTTGTAATTGATTGACACAAACCATTTTGGGCCCCAGTACTTCTTCCTCCATCCAAATTGTCAATTTCGGTTCTGACATGATCATATGAAGATCTTTATGGTATTTGTTGCAATTTTCGAGTGATTGTACTGGGCCCAACTCTTGTTAAATTCAAAGATCATCCAAGTTAGTAGGTAGCAATCAGGAGCCAGGGGTGACAACCCAACGCTTTACCTTCCAGATGGTTTGGCATCTTCAAAGCATTTCCATGCTTTCGCGATGAAGATGGAGAGTACTGAAACTCACTGGTCATGATATCGCAAATTGATATGAATTGATACACCAAAAATGCAACATAGAAGTAAAAGTTAAACACGACTAGATTTAAGTCAAATTATAGCATTGAGAAAGAATATTGAACGATTTATTAACGATGACTCTGACGATTCATGGTTAACTTTTGGGAGCTTCTTGGAAGTCTCGGCCGAGTCAATTAAATTAAAGACTTATAATTTACACAGAAGATAGAACAATATTGGAAAGAAAAAAAGCTGAGTTGAATACAACATTAGCCAATTCTTTGAATCTTAAGTCGTAGACCCAATCCGAACTGAATGGAATTTCCTGAATTGAGCCAAAAAAAAAAAAAAAAACCAATCCATCTGCTAATCTGTCGTTCTTATCGGATCATTCATCGTTATTATCATCACAATCGGCTTCTTCCTTTATGCAATGTCACAGTCTCATCAGACATCCCATTCTCCGACCAAAAGCCAACAATATAAAGGACTTGTGCTTTTCAAACTGTCACTTCCCACAAAAACATAAAACTACCGTTTTCAAGTGAATTTTCTTGAATGTACCATGAAAGGAAAACTTGAATTATGATTCTCGTACTAGATTTAATTTCGGAATCGATATTTCGCAGAATTTTTTGTGGCTCCATTTCATGGAATTCATCAAAATATATTTACAAACACAGAATTGCAGCGTACAAGTACAAGGAGAAAGAGACACAAAAATACCATAACAAAAACCGAGTTAGATAGGAAGGCTTATAGCCCACAAAAAAGGAGAAATAAGCTAACCAGAATCTAAAGAAAAAGAGAAACCCAGGAAAGAGAAGTTCGAAGTAAATCAGTAAGATATGGGTAGAAGGCTTTGGGTCTGAAAGGATAAGACTTTTCATGGTACTACCAAAGAGTCCTAGCTCTCTTGGAGGCGGTGGATGGTGGGCTTATCTGTGGAACAGTGAAGCAATTATCGTCAGTGCTCCACTTTCTGCTAGATTTGATGTGTGCAACTTCCTTGGACTCCTTGGTACCCATTTGCCAACTAAAGGACATGTTTGAAGAAGGGAATGATTGAGAAAGTTGAGGAGGTTGTGGAGCTTGAGGGACCCAAATCCCCGCATTTTCTGGAGAGAAAAGACCCAGACTGCTCTCAATCTGAGCATCCCAAAATGGTAATACATCATCATCCATATTCTGCAATCAAAAAATCAAACATGAATAAATCAACTATCTCTTTAATAAGCAGTTTATTCAGATGAGTGAGAATAGATACTACAGGAAGTTTCCATGGAGGATTGCAAACCTTAGAGAAACCATAGGGGTTGGAAGAGGAATCAAGAAAGTCTTCGACGTGCCATCCGGGCAGCATCTCTATTAAGTACTCTGATATGCCGGTAAACTGATTAATCCCACCACCCTTTTCAACAATTTCTGCTGCTGCTATGGTAGTCTTGAAAACGGAAGGTGGGTTTGAAACTGTGGGGGAAGCGGAAACAGGNGCAGCATCTCTATTAAGTACTCTGATATGCCGGTAAACTGATTAATCCCACCACCCTTTTCAACAATTTCTGCTGCTGCAATGGTAGTCTTGAAAACGGAAGGTGGGTTTGAAACTGTGGGGGAAGCGGAAACAGGAGTATTGATTGAGTTTTGAGGCTTGAGATTAGGAACAGCATCAGAACCGGTGGTTGAAGCCTTGGCGGAGGATGTTGATGATGATGAATAGAGAGCAGAGGTTGCTGAGAGCTTGACACCGGTTAGGAGGAACCTGTTATGCTTCTGGGTGTGCTCGTTAGCTTTATGTATTGGAATATCACACTCTCTGCATAGAATTGCTCTGTCCTGTTGACAAAACAGGAAGGCCCTTCTCTCCTGCATAAACACAAACACATATGAATAAACTTGAATTAAAGATTAAACAAGGCTTTGCAAATGCCAGATGTGAAGTTCACAGCGTATTTTATACGAACACCTGGCAGATGTCACAGAGAGGGACTTGTTCAGTGGAAGGTTGAAGGAGAGAGAATCGTTGGTGCTTTCCGGCAAGCTTGTTGGCATGATGGACACGATGGTCACAGGCGTCACAAAGTGCAGCCTCATCAGCTGAACAAAACACTGATGCTTCGTCTTTGTTACAGACGTCGCACTGGATCTTCATCTGATATGGGTGTTTGATCAAGAATCAGGGTGTAGTAGAATGAGATGGTTTGAAGGACAGACGGAAAGATCCAGAAGTGATGGTGATCCTAGAGAGAGAGAGAGAGAGAGAGAGAGAGAGAAGGATGGTGGGGGAGGGGGGTTGAAATTTGGTAACCAGAACAGAGAGAACAGTGTTTGTATTACTTTAATTAGAAATGATTATGGAATATAAAAATATGAAGAGTAAAACTTTTTTAGCAGCGGAAAGAGTGTCAATTTGATTAATAAAAAAATAATAAAAAATTGGTTAATAAAAGGGTAAATTACACTCTGACACCCTCAACTATGATCTTTTTTTACTTTGCTCTTTTAATTATTCAGTCATTCATAATACCCCCTCAACTACTTTGATTCGTTTTATTTTTGGACGAAAATTATTGATGTGTTATAGCAAAGTAAAAACAATTACATAATTTAAGGGAAAAATAAACTAACTTTCTATTAAATACTTAAATGACATTAATAATGGAGATAATGTGAAATTAATCATATAGTTGAGGGTATAATATAAAAAATATGATAGTTAAAGAGTAAAGAGATAAATTAAAAAAAAAGTCATAATTGAAGGGGCTAAAATATAAATTATCCTTGATAGAAAAAGGTGACGGTGGCACATAAGATTGGACCAGGTGATGGAGTTAGTGAGAATGGCAATATGGACATTACTACGACGTGTGTAAATTACTAAATTATTCTAGCTGAATTCGTAAATGTAGTTTAAGTTGTAATATGGACAAATCATAAATGAAGATATCATAAATTCGAGTTTTTATAATTTTTTAAGATTATATTATAAAAAATTTATCTTTTATAAATATTTTAATCTTTTAAATTTGGTGGTTGTATCTCTTATACTAATGGCTGACCCAAAAAATATTAAAAGACATAGTTGAAGTAGAACCACTTCTACACAATAAAGTCGGTGCTACAGAGAAGTAATGTCCACCGGTCAGTTTGAGTGTAATTGGCAGATAATGAATCTCAAAAAACAAATGGGTAATTTGCGTCTGAATATTTTCATTGATGCGACACCACCTTGGAGAACTGATGCCTCTTTCTATTTTGTTTTTTATTTTATCTCTTTTGCCATTTGATTCTGTCCCAAAAAAAAGTTTGAGTGTAATTTGAGTTGATGCTGTGTAATCTTTAGATTAGTTATTTAGAGTCATTGCAGATAATTTGGTGCACACTATTGGTGCATATAATTTTATCCAAATTGGAAATGGTGTTGTCAGAAGATAAAGATCTTCAACTCCGGTTTAAAGATAGTTCAAGGAGTAATAAGGGCAAACCGTAAATTCAGACGTTTTGAGTTCTAATTTTGATAATTCCTTTTGATCAGGTAAATCCTTCGTGAATATCTTAATTCTGACGTAGATGACCTATTATCTTTAACTAAACCGAAAAAATGATTAGTCAAGATGCTCGTATGTTGACTTAAACCCTCTTGACTTTTAAACTAAAAAAAAAATAAGATAAAGATGTTCCATAAAATTAGGGGAGGGGGACGGGTAGTGGCATATACCTCGTTGAAATACGTCCCTTTCTGCAACTGGGGAGCATGGGACGCTTTTAAAGCCCCCATTGCAATTGATGTTAAAATGGGGAAAGGGCAGGTAAGGGCAAAGGACGACGCTTCTCGAGTGTCTGTAGCTGGCTTATGGTGGGTTATTCCATTCCATGATGGGGTTCTCTGCGTCTTTGTATGGGCAACCATTAGCTGTTGCTTTCTTCCCTTTCTTACAGCAGCCCCTATTTCCACAACGAAGTAATTTAGTGCTTCAGTCTTTGATATGATAACGTAGAGGTCTTAGTTTTAACTTATTGTTACACTCTTTTAAGGATTTTGTTCATTTGAGGACATGTTTAAAACCAATTCAAATCACGATGATCATTGTAAACTTGAACATTCTGTAGTCACGTTAACATCTTTATTTTGTTAACGTGACCTTCTAAATTGCAATTAATTACACATATTTTAATCCATTTTCAAAGCAATCAACTTGAAGTGTTTGCAATTAACCTTCGGAGTTATTGGGGTTAAGAAAGTGGATGCCCTTTAAGTGTGGTGAAGGCCCCTCTTATTAATATGCTGCTTATTTTCCACTTTATCCATCCAAACAATTATTTACATGTTATTTCTGTTCGCTCCCTGAACTTTAAATTATCTATCATGAATGAGTTTTCATATGTTTCTTTAAAANATCCTTTGGTGTTATTGGGGTTAAGAAAGTGGATGCCCTTTAAGTGTGGTGAAGGCCCCTCTTATTNAACCTTCGGAGTTATTGGGGTTAAGAAAGTGGATGCCCTTTAAGTGTGGTGAAGGCCCCTCTTATTAATATGCTGCTTATTTTCCACTTTATCCATCCAAACAATTATTTACATGTTATTTCTGTTCGCTCCCTGAACTTTAAATTATCTATCATGAATGAGTTTTCATATGTTTCTTTAAAATTTAATAGAACCCCACAATATTTCAAAATGAATGATTGAATTTAATCTATGGCAAAATAGTTTGAAATTTAGAAAATAAAATTCAAAACGAGATCAATACCGAAAGTGGGATGGACTTGAAAGCTAAATCAAGTACATTAACAACTTCTATTCTTGACGGNACAGTTTGAAATTTAGAAAATTTAAATTCAAAACGAGATCAATACCGAAAGTGGGATGGACTTGAAAGCTAAATCAAGTNATAGTTTGAAATTTAGAAAATAAAATTCAAAACGAGATCAATACCGAAAGTGGGATGGACTTGAAAGCTAAATCAAGTACATTAACAACTTCTATTCTTGACGGAGAAGAATGATTAATTACATTGATTAATTATTATTCCAATTAGAAATTTGGTCTTATTTTTTCCTCGGTGATTCAACTGTTATTTCCAGCACGAGGGCGAGTTAAGGTCCATTACTTTCAACTTGAAGTGCATAGGAAGTGATGACCAAAAAACAAAAGCAAAAACAAAAAAAAAAAGTGCAAAGGGAGTGGAAAATGCCAGGTCGACACATGCATAAGAAACTATCGAATCTTACCAAGAATCCAAAGATCTGTTCAATGGTCTCATCAGAGTGAGACATACGTAAGTGCGTTTCCCATGAATTTCAACATGAAGGATATAAATCTTTGAACCGTTAAGGATAGTTTAGTGGTGTGGAATTGATTTTGAGATGAATTATAAATTCAAATGATTTGATTTTAAATCATATTTTAATGTCTAACTAGGGAAAATGGGTCATTAATATGTAGTAATATCTAAGCGTGATCACAAGGGTCTCAATAAGGGTCTCAAAAGGACAACAACTTGTCACCACAACACCATCAAAATCAATCAACAACAACCGTGTTACTCCTGTGGATTGAATTCTACTTGATAATCATATGAGAGTCAAGAACGACCCGAAATGAGTATTGATGATACAAAAAATTATTCAAGGTTAAACTAGGCCCAGAAGTAACTCGGAGACATGCCTTCAATAGGGACCTGTGTGATGACATTAGAATCTAAGTTTCAATTTGAGACAACTGAGGTAGGGCGAATGAGCTGAGCTCACAATCCCTATCTACTTAGCTTGTAACTCTAGCTCAAACCTCCCAGCTCATATTTCCTAGCTCAAGAACAAAAAATCGGGTGTCAACACCAANGAATCGTTAAGGATAGTTTAGTGGTGTGGAATTGATTTTGAGATGAATTATAAATTCAAATGATTTGATTTTAAATCATATTTTAATGTCTAACTAGGGAAAATGGGTCATTAATATGTAGTAATATCTAAGCGTGATCATAAGGGTCTCAAAAGGACAACAACTTGTCACCACAACACCATCAAAATCAATCAACAAAAACCGTGTTACTCCTGTGGATTGAATTCTACTTGATAATCATATGAGAGTCAAGAACGACCCGAAATGAGTATTGATGATACAAAAAATTATTCAAGGTTAAACTAGGCCCAGAAGTAACTCGGAGACATGCCTTCAATAGGGACCTTTGTGATGACGTCAGAATCTAAGTTTCAATTTGAGACAACTGAGGTAGGGCGAACGAGCTGAGCTCACAATCCCTATCTACTTAGCTTGTAACTCTAGCTCAAACCTCCCAGCTCATATTTCCTAGCTCAAGAACAAAAAATTGGGTGTCAACACCAATGTGACCTTCGTGCACACGACTACAACGACAGTTCACACCTTCTAGAAGGTTACATCACACCTAAGAAAACGTAACCTTTAACGGCCAAATATCTATCACATGGATCGTAACAACCCTAAATGGTTCACGTTGATTACGCAAGAACCATGTTCTTACACACGAAAAATAGGGATCAATCCTTTACATTGTAGAGGATTGAATACCTAAGAATCGACCCTCAATAGCATTGTAAACGTTTCTCTCAAGCAATTAAAAATTTTCTCAGGAGTAAGAGACTCTATTAGAGTGGATTAGCCAAATTTTCAAACTGGTAAACCACTATATATCCTATGTTTGTTGATTTCCATTATGTTTGATCATCCTTGTGTCTATTGTTTTACCATCAAGAGCCTAATAACTCTGACTGAGTATTCTAGTGAATTCCATTAATGTCCCTTACGAAACTCCATTCAATTTCTCCCTTTTTTAGCCCGAAGTTTGATTACACAATTGCGTAAATTATATCATCAGACCTTAAGCTCGAATCGTACTTTCATATCTATCTTATACATGTGAATAGTAAGTATTTAAATTTTACACTGCTGGAGTGGATTCAATATGTTACTGGCTGAGAGAGATTCTTTGTTAGGGAAAAAAGGGGTAGGTCTTGTTATGTAGATATAAGATCTTAATCCCATCTCCTTNAGGTTAAACTAGGCCCAGAAGTAACTCGGAGACATGCCTTCAATAGGGACCTGTGTGATGACATTAGAATCTAAGTTTCAATTTGAGACAACTGAGGTAGGGCGAATGAGCTGAGCTCACAATCCCTATCTACTTAGCTTGTAACTCTAGCTCAAACCTCCCANAAGTTAAACTAGGCCCAGAAGTAACTCGGAGACATGCCTTCAATAGGGACCTTTGTGATGACGTCAGAATCTAAGTTTCAATTTGAGACAACTGAGGTAGGGCGAACGAGCTGAGCTCACAATCCCTATCTACTTAGCTTGTAACTCTAGCTCAAACCTCCCAGCTCATATTTCCTAGCTCAAGAACAAAAAATTGGGTGTCAACACCAATGTGACCTTCGTGCACACGACTACAACGACAGTTCACACCTTCTAGAAGGTTACATCACACCTAAGAAAACGTAACCTTTAACGGCCAAATATCTATCACATGGATCGTAACAACCCTAAATGGTTCACGTTGATTACGCAAGAACCATGTTCTTACACACGAAAAATAGGGATCAATCCTTTACATTGTAGAGGATTGAATACCTAAGAATCGACCCTCAATAGCATTGTAAACGTTTCTCTCAAGCAATTAAAAATTTTCTCAGGAGTAAGAGACTCTATTAGAGTGGATTAGCCAAATTTTCAAACTGGTAAACCACTATATATCCTATGTTTGTTGATTTCCATTATGTTTGATCATCCTTGTGTCTATTGTTTTACCATCAAGAGCCTAATAACTCTGACTGAGTATTCTAGTGAATTCCATTAATGTCCCTTACGAAACTCCATTCAATTTCTCCCTTTTTTAGCCCGAAGTTTGATTACACAATTGCGTAAATTATATCATCAGACCTTAAGCTCGAATCGTACTTTCATATCTATCTTATACATGTGAATAGTAAGTATTTAAATTTTACACTGCTGGAGTGGATTCAATATGTTACTGGCTGAGAGAGATTCTTTGTTAGGGAAAAAAGGGGTAGGTCTTGTTATGTAGATATAAGATCTTAATCCCATCTCCTTAATTATTAGGGTGGACTTAGTCCGGAAATGCAGCCTCTCAACTTTTAAGAGTGGTCTAAGTGGAAGAGAAAGTCAACTTTTGCAAATGTTTCTGTGAGAAATGGTTAACATGGCATTCTATGATTGGCAAGTACGAAGAACACATTAAAAAAAGTTAAGTTACAATTCCTAAGTTTTTTATTCTAAATGACATGACACAATCTCTATCATTAAATATTATTGAGATTCACTTATTTGATGGTGAAAAATATGTCACATCAATCAGACTGAAAAATTTAATAAATAATTTTACCCATTCCTTTGAGTGCTAGACATATTGATTTATCAAAGAGGTGGTATACCCCTTCCCCTCTCCCCTCTCCCCTCTCCCCTCTCCCCAAACCCAAAAAAAAAAAAAANATAATAATGTTATAATTCCTAAGTTTTTTATTCTAAATGACATGACACAATCTCTATCATTAAATATTATTAAGACTCACTTATTTGAAGGTGAAAAATATGTCACATCACTCAGACTGAAAAATTTAATAAATAATTTTACCCATTCCTTTGAGTTCTAGACATATTGATTTATCAAAGAGGTGGTATACCCCTTCCCCTCTCCCCAAACCCAAAAAAAAAGAAGCCATTGATCTTATCAAGACATTAAATTAGTAAGGGAAAAATCTGATCAAAATCCATTAAGATATGGAAAGAAAGTCTGATTATAATTGTAACGGCAGTTAATTAGTAATATCTGAAATAAAATCATTAAGAAAGGGTCATAAGTGATGGTAATAGGCTAAGCTAACACAATATGACAAACACCACTTTTTTTTGGTGGAAAGATTTGCATGATGTGATGCACTTTTTATAGAACCACAACATACAGTATAAATATTATTCCAAGATAAGATGAACTACATATGTGTTGTCGGCATCATAATAATAATTAATATGAAGGATAAGAGACGAATATATATATTTTTTTCTCAATAATAAATCGATTCCAATTGTTTCATATGGACAACATTTTTTATATTGCAAAGCCGTAACAAAGCATAAACAAGCAAATTATGAAAAACCTTGATTCTAAAATCATTTGATGTTTAAAAAGACGGTCTAGTCCACAAGATTTTGTCATTGTAAAATTTAAAGGCTATATGTGTGTAGTATTATTTTGCATACAGATAAATTATTTTTGTATTAAATCTCATTTAAACTTGAGTTAGTGAACTCAAATTCCAAAATTTATACATCAACAAACTCGGGTCGAAGGGTTTGAGTTGAATTCGGACTTTGAACTTTATCAAAGTCCGAAATGCACTGTAAAGACTAGCATCATGAAGCCAAAGATATTTTTTTAGGGGAGAGTTGGTCACTAATATGAGAGCCAAACTAGGAGATGAGTCTCACTTTATTCTCCAAGTTGGAAGAGATAAAAGAGAAAGGGGCTATCAATATTCTTGGATTGACCAGTAAGGTTTGGAAACGATGAGGNTCGGGTGTCAACACCAACGTGACCTTCGTGCACACGACTACAACGACAGTTCACACCTTCTAGAAGGTTACATCACGCCTAAGGAAACGTAACCTTTAACGGCCAAATATTCTATCACATGGATCGTAACAACCCCAAATAGCTCACGCTGATTACACAAGAACCATGTTCCTACACAGGAAAAATAGGGATCAATCCTTTACATTGTAGAGGATCAAATACTTAAAAATTGACCCTCAAGAGCATTGTAATCGTTTCTCTCAAGCAATTAAAAACTTTTTCAGGAGTAAGAGACTCTATTAGAGTAGATTAGCCAAATTTTCAAGCTGGTGAACCACTATATATCCTATGTTTGTTGATTTCCATTATGTTTGATAATCCTTGTGTCTATTGTTTTGCCATCAAGAGCCCAATAACTCTGATTGAGCATTCTAGTGAACCCCATTAACGTCCCTTACGAATCTCCATTCAATTTCTCCCTTTTTAAGCCCGGAGTTTGATCACACAATCGCATAAATTACATCATCAGACCTTAAGCTCGAATCGTACTTTCATATCTATCTTATACATGTGAATAGTAAGTATTTAAATTTTACACTGCTGGAGTGGATTCAATATGTTACTGGCTGAGAGAGATTCTTTGTTAGGGAAAAAAGGGGTAGGTCTTGTTATGTAGATATAAGATCTTAATCCCATCTCCTTAATTATTAGGGTGGACTTAGTCCGGAAATGCAGCCTCTCAACTTTTAAGAGTGGTCTAAGTGGAAGAGAAAGTCAACTTTTGCAAATGTTTCTGTGAGAAATGGTTAACATGGCATTCTATGATTGGCAAGTACGAAGAACACATTAAAAAAAGTTAAGTTATAATAATGTTATAATTCCTAAGTTTTTTATTCTAAATGACATGACACAATCTCTATCATTAAATATTATTAAGACTCACTTATTTGAAGGTGAAAAATATGTCACATCACTCAGACTGAAAAATTTAATAAATAATTTTACCCATTCCTTTGAGTTCTAGACATATTGATTTATCAAAGAGGTGGTATACCCCTTCCCCTCTCCCCAAACCCAAAAAAAAAGAAGCCATTGATCTTATCAAGACATTAAATTAGTAAGGGAAAAATCTGATCAAAATCCATTAAGATATGGAAAGAAAGTCTGATTATAATTGTAACGGCAGTTAATTAGTAATATCTGAAATAAAATCATTAAGAAAGGGTCATAAGTGATGGTAATAGGCTAAGCTAACACAATATGACAAACACCACTTTTTTTTGGTGGAAAGATTTGCATGATGTGATGCACTTTTTATAGAACCACAACATACAGTATAAATATTATTCCAAGATAAGATGAACTACATATGTGTTGTCGGCATCATAATAATAATTGATATGAAGGATAAGAGACGAATATATATATTTTTTTCTCAATAATAATTCGATTCCAATTGTTTCATATGGACAACATTTTTTATATTGCAAAGCCGCAACAAAGCATAAACAAGCAAATTATGAAACACCTTGATTCTAAAATCATTTGATGTTTAAAAAGACGGTCTAGTCCACAAGATTTTNTGATATGAAGGATAAGAGACGAATATATATATTTTTTTCTCAATAATAAATCGATTCCAATTGTTTCATATGGACAACATTTTTTATATTGCAAAGCCGTAACAAAGCATAAACAAGCAAATTATGAAAAACCTTGATTCTAAAATCATTTGATGTTTAAAAAGACGGTCTAGTCCACAAGATTTTGTCATTGTAAAATTTAAAGGCTATATGTGTGTAGTATTATTTTGCATACAGATAAATTATTTTTGTATTAAATCTCATTTAAACTTGAGTTAGTGAACTCAAATTCCAAAATTTATACATCAACAAACTCGGGTCGAAGGGTTTGAGTTGAATTCGGACTTTGAACTTTATCAAAGTCCGAAATGCACTGTAAAGACTAGCATCATGAAGCCAAAGATATTTTTTTAGGGGAGAGTTGGTCACTAATATGAGAGCCAAACTAGGAGATGAGTCTCACTTTATTCTCCAAGTTGGAAGAGATAAAAGAGAAAGGGGCTATCAATATTCTTGGATTGACCAGTAAGGTTTGGAAACGATGAGGATTCGGAAATATCCACATATAATAACCTATACCCTGGGACTATAAAGATAAGTAGTGGGGGACAAGCTCTACAAACCACAAAGGTTCCTCACCATTCTCAGTAATAAATAATAGTAGTAGTAACGTAGGATTCGTTAGATCAGGTGGTGGCTTACCAGAATGAGGGCTAATCTTCTTTTTTTTTTTTTTTTTTTTTTTTTTTTTTTTTAATGGTAGAGGGTATTCGGACTAGTTTGCTTGTCATTCACATCCTGACTAAGAAATTTGTGAAAAATAAATCTTTCATAGTCTAACCCTAAGACGTTACGAAGATTCGAACAATGTCTGAATTTATAACTTGTCCTAATTATCGCTTTGGCTAATCCCCTGTCAATTAGTGCCCACCACTTGCTTCCCTTTTATGCTTTATCTCACTTCTACTCTCTTTTTATAATCCAGTAGTGGATGGCTACAATATTAATGATGCATTTAGTTGATCAAGGTCTCATAAAGTATTAGCCTTGCAGGTTATATTATTGGTATCATAACTATAAATTATTTCTCATTTATGTATGCATCTGTAAAGCTGGATTCGGGTGGGCATAGTCTGGATATATAATTCCAGTTGCGTCATCTGGGTCGTCATGTATGTTAGGTGATCAGCACATAATCAATATCAATTAGAATGATCAATTGATAAAGTATTGTGCTTATAATCAATATCAATAAGGATGATCAATTGATGAAGTGTTTTGCTTTGAGAGGATCGATATTGATAGGTGCAAATCCCATTCTATATGAAAACATTTCTAGACAATGTCGATGGGTTTTGAAAAATTAACTACTGAAAATTTGCGAAAAGTTCATCTCTTTTCTTTGCGTATGTGAGGAAAGAACTCAAACTTGTCCCAAGTTGATCGCATCGATAATTAGAATCCAATCAGCTTAAGTTAGTGCATGTGAGGAAAGAACTCAAACTTATCCCAAGTTGATCGCATCGATAATTAGAATCCAATCAGCTTAAGTTTATAATAAGGCGTGGTACACTAATTTCTTCCACAATCAAGCTAATTAAATAACATGCAGATCTTCCACAATCAAGGTCATCACATGCTGAGCCTTAGATACAAGATAATACAATATTTTGGGTATATTATCCTCTTAAGTCGGAGTATGGGAGTTGGCACAATGATAAAACTACTCTATTGTAACTAAGAGACTACGCACCGAATACGCTCTCTTTGTCCTCTTAATTCAAGGTCAAGGTGTAATCCATGGCTCGAAACTAATCACATAAGATTGGACACTTCACACTCAAAAGAATCCAATTTTCCAACAAGAACTATTTGGGTTTCCACTTTGGGTCAGGCCGGAATCCCAACCCAGATTATGTTTCACGCCAGCAGATTGGGTTTTCTTTGATGTACCAGAACTCTATAGCAGCCCACCGGTTTAATTTTGTAGGTCCAATAAGAGGTTATTGGTTGGCTAATATAACATTCTCAACGGGACAAGGTAGGTGTTGACGCGACAAATCTATGAAACTAAAATAGTGGGCCGAGATTGTTTAGTACTAGACACAAATTACACAACCTAGTAATATGAATAGTAATGAACAAGCTCATAGAATCCTAATCAGACATGTTGAACATTTGGTCATGAACCTCACAGGGCCAAGGTAGGGGTGGTCAGGGTTAGAGCCTAGGGGCTTGGTGCAACATGAGGGAAAGTAGCACCTGGTAAATAATATCTGTTCTGAGGCCACAATAACAAGAACTTCAAGTTTAAGCTTCGAACAACTTGAAGAATGAAATGCGGTTTTAAGTTTAGCATACAGATAAGTAAACGGAAAGACAGACTACTAAACATTTTTCAACGAAATACAAGAAAGAGATCAATGATGCTAGCTTAGATAGTTTCAACTCCAAGGGACAAATTGAAGATTGAATCGCTGGACTTTTAGCACGATGTCAGTCCTACTCGAGCAAGGCATAGGTAGTAAGATCTGAGCCCCCACTGTGAGGATTGGGCGGGTTAGGTTGCAGGCGTAGAGCTAGTATGTGAGGTCCTCCATTTGGGAATCCGAGAACAGAATCGTAATCCCCTCCGTTGTCAACCAACCCATAGTGCGGATCTTCATCTCTTGAATCCTGTGAAATGATTGATCGTTTAAAGAGTTCCATGTTATAAGCTCTCGATGTCTTTCCAAATACCAGGCAGATTGAAGATTTAAAGAAAATTGAACAAGAATGCTTACAAATTCATGCAGGAGATTCCTGTGTATTTCTTCCACATTCCTCAACTGAAACCAGGTTGAGGAAATTAAGAATACCAGGCGAAACAAAACACTATGAATAAATTTAGTACTTGTACCTTTTTCTTGTAAGTGTCAATCTGATTACTGATCACTTTGTACTGTTTGTCAACATAAAAATCGAAGCTGTTAGTCCGATTCATCGTATAAGATAGATCACACTCACCACCCCTAAATAAGCCAAGTTAAACATGCACACGTACACAAAAAACTGCACGCATGCACAACCAACTGCCATGTCAGTTTCTTTTAAAACATCGGCTTTGCAAATGGTGACATCGATGGGTAAGGTCCTGAATCATTGATATTGGTTAGTAGAGTGTTCACCCTACCCTGCGGGTAAGAAATAAGCTCTTTCGTCTTTCTACCCAATACTTTGCGGAAGAGTTTTTTCTTGATCTATCCTACCCGACAGTTGTGGTATTTTTACCCGACTTCCTATCTGATTAATCGGGTAGTAAGTCGGGTAAATATTTTTGTAACAATTAATTTTTTGATCATTTTAACAATTTAATTAAATAACATGCACCAATTTAACAACACAATAAATCAATTAACACTAAAATCTAAAACAACTACAACAAGAATTATAATAAAACACAAGAAAGTATGAATATCAATCTACCATAATTGTTACACAAATACAATAACAATTAATTTAAGTTTAAACTTTAAACTATAAGAAATATATTAAAATTATATTTGCTCCGTTGTGGTAGTTCACTACAAATCATGTAACCGATCTGTTACTGTAGATGAAGGTTTGCGATCAGACCTTCCAAGTTAGACCACACCAGAAAGAGAACCTGGGTGGAAAGTCTAGAACGATGAAAGAGGAGCAGTGGAGTGATTGAGTGAGGTGTGAGGCGCAGACGCTCTTGGGACTCGGTAGATTAGGATTTTTTTACTATATATATATATATATATATATATATATTNGGAAGTCTAGAATGATGAAAGAGGAGCAGTGGAGTGATTGAGTGAGGTGTGAGGCGCAGACGCTCTTGGGACTCGGTAGAGTAGGGTAGGAATGCGGAAATGAATGTTTATTCCGCATTCTTACCTGAAAATTGTTGGAAGACCAAAAACTCTTTCGCATTCCTATCCGATTTTTACGATTAGCTGTTCAATAGAGTGGGATAAGAACNGCAGGTAGAGTAGGGTAGGAATGCGGAAATGAATGTTTATTCTGCATTCTTACCTGAAAATTGTTGGAAGACCAAAAACTCTTTCGCATTCCTATCCGATTTTTACGATTAGCTGTTCAATAGAGTGGGATAAGAACTTGCGGCCGGTCAAAAATTTGAATACCCCTATTGGTTAGAGGTGACCAATCCATTATCCATTAGCCATCGAATTCGTTTATTTACCACCTCTGATACTGGTAAATCGATTATTACTTGGAGTATTCATCATACAAAACTATCAGGATAGATTGGACAAGGAAAAAAAAAAGGATGAAAATGTAAAAAGCAACCCGTCAGAATTAATGTTCGATTAATATGTCGTGCTCAGTAATGTCAAGGATCAATATAATTTTCAATAATGTGATTTTAAGCTTTTTAAAGTGAAGTTTGTGATGTATTTTTATATTTTTTGCTTTATTTGTTTGCCGTAATTTCCTCTTTTCCCAAGTACCATATTGTACTTTTGCAAAATAATAATCAAAATATGTTTTTTTTGTCAATAAAAACATTACCAAATTATACATGAATTCATCGAGTCTAAATTCATCTAAGATTGACTCCACTGCAAAACCCTCTTAACACCATTTGGTTGTGGCAAAGAGATTACTTCAATTTTTTGGGTTTTATTTGGTTAGTAAGAGATTGACAAAAAAATGCGGGAAAGAGACAAAAAAATGCGGGAAAGAGAAAAAAAAATTGATTTTTTGGTATTTGTTTAACATTATAATATTGGAAAATATTAGAAATTAAATTTTTGGCCCTAAAAAATTTTCTAGTAAATTGCAGTTCTTGTTTCCTGCAGATTGTGCACAAAAATAATTTTTTTTTCAATAAAAGTTGAAAAGCATGTATGTTTTCCCATTTTGTCTATATTTTGTTTTTCATGTTGATCATTATCTATTGAATATAAATTTCTATAAAGGCAATATTGACATTAAAAAGGACTTTTTTTTATAACTTTCTTACTTTTCAAATTATAGAAAGAAAATTTTTAAAATTTTTTTGTACATATTTCATTCTAACCAAATCAATGTAAGAAAATATACTCTCTCTCTATCTCTCTCTCTTTTTTTTTTTAATTTCTTTTATTTTCTACCATTATTTTCTTTCTAATTAAAAAAAAAGAAAGAACTTCAGGAAAATAGAGAACCCAGTATTCTAACAAAAGAAAGAAAAGAAACTCAACCTTTCGCTCACGGATGATCTTCACAGAACCATCCACTTCTTGCTCAAGACCACGCAGTTCATCATAGTTCAGATCGTTCAAACTCTCTCCCAGTCTCTGCCTATAAATTATTCCNAAGAAACTCAACCTTTCGCTCACGGATGATCTTCACAGAACCATCCACTTCTTGCTCAAGACCACGCAGGTCATCATAGTTCAGATCGTTCAAACTCTCTCCCAGTCTCTGCCTATAAATTATTCCCAAAAATAAAAGTAATGAAAACAAACGATAACTCTCTTACCCAAAGTGAAAGAAAGCAAACAACATATATCAAACAGCAAGAGCTCTTTACTGTCACCTAATCTCCCTCCGAAGGTTCCTATTAACCTCTTTCAGCTTCTTCAAGTGCCCTTGCATTTCCTTTACCACATCATCTCACAAACATTACACAAAAAGCTTTAAAATATATATAGAGAACGAGAGAGAGAGAGATTAAACCTCATAATGAGAGCTCCAAAGGTCGACACCCAAGGTCCTCTGGTACTGATCGAAGAACTGTTTAGTCCTGAATGAACAAAATAACACATATAAACGCACGCGCACACACAAACACAATTGTTGTATCGTTTGATTTATGAAATCTTAGGTTTGAGAAAGGGAAGAAAGAGAGAGAGAGATACGTAATGGAGGGACTGATATATTCGTGAAGCTTGTTGGTACAGGAGAACATGATGATGGAGACTTGGGCATCACAGAGGACGGTGAGTTCATGTGCCTTCTTGAAGAGACCACTCCGTCTCTTCGAATACGTGACCTGCCGATTCGTTGAGTTCTCAATCCTCCTGATCTGGATCTTCCCACGAGCCATCTCCTCTCTCTCTCTCTTTCTCTCTTCAAAGATCAAGCTTAATAGGGTTTGGTGATAGAGATCTGGGGAAGCAAAAGAAGAGAGAGAAGGAGTTGAATACAATGAGGACCATTACGTAGCATAAATAGCAAAACTTACCTAATGCGTGAAAAGGGTTGCAGAGATTGATAAAGTTTTTAAGGTTCAGTCACTAATCAGTTATCAGTCACCACCATTACAGAGCATTTCGATTTTCGAGTTTTGGGTCCCCACTTCTCTCCGTCAAAGAAACAAACAACTTTTGTGCTTGTGTTCCCCCTTGTTGGTTGTTGCTTCAAATTCAGTTCAATTGATTGAATGGTTCCCTCGTGCTGTTTGACAGAGAGCTCTTTCGACATTTGTTTGGTTGGATTACCTACTGGCCAGTTCAATTTGATTGGGCCAATGCTCCGGTTGGTCCAAATTCCAAGGGGTTCAGGCTTCATTTTTCCACAAAAAATCGCATTGGGCCTCATTTTAATTTTGTCTGAACTCTAGCAAATTAGGAATTATGCTTGCCTTTATGTCAGTTCTCAATAACATTACCTTTATTCAATATAAAATTTGCATTAAAATTTCCTAGCACGAATTTAGATTGAAAATCATGATCGAATTGATCTATTAATTTTACTTACTAAAAGTTAGCTTTACTCTATCGTATTATAAATAGAATAGTCATAACCCGTGTCTGAAAATACGATAAAATATAAAATTTTAGCACTTAAAAAATTGATCATACTATATTAAATAACAATTTTAATTTCTTTGATTACATCATTTAAAATTTATTTTTTACACATTATATTCTTAAAAATATCAAAAACAATTTTCAAAATATGAAATCTGATAAAATTTTCTCAATATGTGTATAGTATTATGTATGGATAATGTCTGAAATAAAAATTATATTCAATTGCAAATTAAGTATTAAATGATAGAACATATAGGGGATAAAAATTTAAGTTGTTAGGTATTTTCTTATATAGACACCGCAAATTATCAACCTCGTGTTACCGTACAACAAAAAATTATTAATGGGTAAGGCCATTGCCTTGAGAAGGCAAAAAGGCAGGCCTGGTATCAACATTATGAAAAGCTTTTAATTTCCTTTTTTTTTTGTATATAGGATTATGTGTTTATGGTGTTAAGTTTTTAGCAAATTATCTATAATATATTATAGACATATTTTATATTTTTAATTAAACTATTATGTTTTATAATTTTTTATTTTTATAACCGATCCAACCAATTGACTTAACGATTGAACCAGTGAACCGGTCCCCTTGTTGGTTTGATGTCCAGTCCGGTTTCGATAACATTGCTTTGCAAAAATCTTATATCGGACATAAATTAAATTTTTTTTTTTATTATATTGATGAAGGATTCACTGTATATAAGCTTAAATTATTTTTTCTTTTTTATATAAGTTTAAACTGATATGAATTCTAAATGTATATATTGAATCTTAGGCTTTCAATCTTCCAACATGTAGTATCAAGTTAATGGCTGACGACCATGAGTGAATTTTCGATGAAGTGATGGTAGTGTATCGGTACTGATGCTAACTCTTATAAAATGTGATAATACATTAAAATATAAAAGTCATGGAAACGTAATTTAAGAAAAGATGTTAAAAGAGTGGTAGAGAGCAATAAAAGCCTTTTTTTCTTGGAAGAATAGACTCTTATAAAGAGTGGTTGAACACGATGAATAATGGATTAGACTAAAGAGCCTTAGATTATTGAACTCCCGGCTCTTAATAGCTCGAAATATATATAAAAAAAATTTGTAATGTTGATCCTTATTTTTTCAAGGAATGTAAAACTTCTAAAAAAAATTTATTTTATCATTTTATTTTATTTTAATATTTTCACACAATGGCTACAACTAAAATAATTAAAATTTTTAATCACCAATTATATTTACATGTCAAAAAAAAAATTTCAGTGTCATAAGTTTTTAACTAGTGCCAGTTTACTTGAGGTTTTACCCCAACTTATTGACTTTTAAAAAATAAAACCTAGAAGAGGATAGTTTTCAAAATATTTTTCAAATTCAAATATATTGTTAAAAAAGTCATTTGAAATGACGTTTATATACAAAAAATGTTAGTTAAAGGAACATTTTTAGTATAAAAAAGTCCAATTAAGTGACTTTTTTATTCATTTATAGGACCTAAAAATAATGAATACGTCAATTATACTCACGTTTTTAGGATGTGTTTTGAATGATGTAACAGGTTCATTTTCTCTACAGTTGTTTTGTGGTAGACAATTTAGGGCAAACAAGTGGCAGCCATTCTTACGGCTTTCCTGTCTTATGTTTGACCTAGTTTTTGACGGAAGACAGGTTAGGCGAGAAGGACAATGAGATTTCAACTCTACAAATTTTTTAATTTTTTTTTTCAATTGTCACGTAGGATCGGGACAGGTGTAACTCGACTGTTTTTTTCTTTAGTCCAATCAAAAATATGAATAAATATTCAATATAATAATGATATTACATTACCATTAATAACATAATATCATCAATCAATAATAAAACCCAAAGTGGATAAGGTGAGCTCCACTTGACAGTGAAGAGTTAATGGCTTACGTGGCGAGTTGGTTATTAATTTTTGTGAGGTTCATTTATTTATTTGTTTTGATATTATTAGTTTATGATACCACAGCAGCATGCCATGTGGTATCACCGTTGTAATGAATATTTTCTGACCATTCACGTTTAGATTAAAGTATTCATAAAGGGTAAATTCTCATGACCTGACCCAAAAAATTTGTCAAGATTCTCACTCAAGATATTTAAATTTAGAACTTATTTATGTTACCACTTGAGTTACCTTGAAATTATTTAAAAATATTTTATCAAATACTTTTTTTTCCACATTTGGGTTTTGTTGTTTTCCTTTGAGATGTCCTCTTGGCTCTTGTATCCTCCTAATTACTATTTTCTTTTTTTGATTATTTGTTTTGAAAGAGAGAGAATTTATTACGTAACTGTGTACAAAATACATTAAAATAATATTTAGTTCGAATCAAAACACCACAATTTTATACTCTTTTATTTTTGTTTCATGAGATATTTCGATTTTTTTCTTGGTTACAAACATACAAATCCATAGTAGGTGAAATCTCGCAAAGAGCATACTAATGAAGAAAGAATTAATATATTCATAATAAATTAAGATAACGGGTACTCATAATACACAAAATAATGGATACTAGGAAAGTAGAGGAGGAATCTAACAAAATAGAGTCATGTATTTTGTTTATGTAGCAAAGTTCTAAGACCTAGTAGTCTAATTGACCAATTCCACTCATAGGAGTTCTTGTTGGACAACAAATTGTTATCCCTAACCTTTGGATTTAGTAAACGCTTAGTTGCCATTTACAACCATAAAAACGAACCTAAGGGTATAAAAGTCATTTCAAAAGATAGTAATAATGTATGGCAGAGACAATCTTGAAGAGATTGTTTGCCCTACATGGTCTACCACAAGAGAACAATCACAAAACAACGATAAAGAAAATGAACCTGTTGCATCATCCCAAATACATGTTAGAAAACTCTATGTACACATTGATTAAAACAATAAAAACATCAATACAATTGACCTTTTCATTGAAATCGTCAGTTGTACTCATGTTTTTAGTTCACTTAAATAAATAAAAAATGTTAGTCAGTTTAATGTTTTTATGCTAAAAAAATTACTTTAATCGACGACTTTTGTATAAAAACGTCATTCTAAGTGCTACTTTTAAAAATGTCTGAATTTAAAAAACACTTTGAAAACTCTTTGCTTTTAGGTATGTTTTTTAAAAATCCAGATTGGAGTAAAACCTCCGCGTTACTTATCCAAAAAAACGAGGAAGGAAAGTGATATGCTTAGTAACCATAGCAATACGCAAAATTAAAAAAAAAAACTTGAGCCAGTTTGATTACTTGCACGCCAAAGGCGAGGGTTTTGGAGATAATAACGTTGTTGACAATCAAATGTCTTGTCTTTTCAAGAATGCATGACTCCATGACACGACAATTACTTGACAAATGGGTCAATGGCATCAAATTCAAATTTTCAATAACATACTAAGAAATTAATTTTTAGTCATTAAGGAAATTAGTTGTGTTATTCATCATAACTTTTAATTTTAACAATTCGAAATTAAATTAGATAATATAATAAAAATTAAAATGTGTTATTTTTTTATTAGACAAAATTATGAATATGGCAACAAAAGTTACTTTTTTGTAACATAGTCTAACTCGACTAATTATATAAAGTGTAAAATATATTGATGATGTGTCTCGCTTCTATCTGGTGTAGTAAATTAACCTTAGGATTTATAATAAGAATTTATTTTTTAAACAACTCTTTGCCATTAGATACATGAACCCAACTTAAATATTGTATACACTTAAATATTTGAAATTTAGATTTGATTGGTGTAGTAAATATTGTATACGCTTAGATACATGAACCTAAATTTTACAATTCAGACTAAAATTTGTAAATAATTTTTAAGTTTACATTTTCGATTAAAAATTGTGTTTACTTTAGGATCAAATCAGGGTTGATTCAAATTTTATTAAAAATTGAACCCAAATTTAGTAATTCAAGTTTGATTCTGCAAACTCGAATATATATGGTGTAAATTCAAATCAGAATGAGGTATTTTGCTTAAATCCAGTTCTACTATTGAAATTACCGTCTAAAATACTCAATAGTCTAAATTTAACCCGTTCAAGTTATGATTACCAAAATTATCTCCGCATGAAGTTGCAGGTCAAAAGATGACTATTTGCTCCCATGGATTATGATAAGTCCTTTAAATTCTAATTTCTTGTAATGGGCGTTCCGATCATTCAAACAGCCTTACGATGGTCACTGTGCTTTGCCTGTCGTGTTGATGATGCTTTTGATATCTTTCGTTTGATTTGCCACATTTTTTCGTCCTGCCAACCTTTTTGTATTATTCTGTATATTTACTTCTAATTTGTGATGTCACTTGCAAATCTTGGTTTAACTATTGTTATAGATGAGTGCTAGACTGACAAAAAAAAAAAAAGGATGAAAGAAGTTGATCAAAAACAGATATATAATAATGTAATTAAGGTTAGACTAGTAGTAATTTGGTCTCATTAATTTTTAGTTATTTAAACTTTCAAATTTTGCTCACCTTTCAAGTGTCACACCATTTAGTCTCCAATTTTTCTTTTTCCATTTTTTAGTTAGTCTAAACATTGCCCATTATATGCAACTAGTATGGTCTGTTGGCATAATTTGATATGGATTGGTCAGTTAATACCTCAAATGGCCTTTATCATTTGGTTAGCCATTAAAATGAGATTGAGTACTAAAGATAGAATCCAAGCTTTCTCAAATGAAGTTGATACTCAATGCGTCTTGTGTAGAAAGACAAATGAAACCCACAGCCACCTCTTTTTTGAATGTGAATACTCCTCTAGAGTTTGGAACTCTATTCTTCTTCAGTGCAATCAACAAGGACAATAAAGGCAATGACCTGATTTAATTGAATGGGCTGCTCAACAGTGGAAAGGCAAGAAGATGACCACTATTATCTTGAAGATCAGTCTCTCTATTACTGTGTATCATATTTGAAAGCAAAGAAATGCAAGAATATTCAGAAACCAAACTGCTAACTCTCATATTCTCATCAAGATGGTTAAGTAGACCATTAGGGAGAGGTTCCTTACCTTGAAATTCAAGCGTAGCCATCATAATGCCTTGACCTTGCTTCATTAGAACCTGCCTGAAACATGTCTCTATTAAGTTCTGGTTTTGAAGCTTGTTGCATCAATAATTTGAAGCTTCATGGCATCTTGGTTTGGGATTCTTGGGGAAGTATTGGCTCAAGGCCTATACTTTTCTCAGAATTCCTAACTTAAGATGAATCTTTGTTTTTGTTTTGTTTTATGAGGTGGCTGTGTTGTTGGTGCTGATTTTTGCTTCTGCACTTGGCCTGCTATGGTATCACACAAGTGGAGTTATGGTCTGCTATTTTACATATCAATGGGGTTATGGGGTAGATTTTTCATGCTCTGATTTTGTCTATCATGCTCTGTTTCTATGAGGTGGCTGTGTTGTTGGTAGGGGTGTTTAAATTTCTGACCGGCTGCAAGTTCCTACCCTACCCGACCCTACTGAATGGCTAGCCGCAAAAATCGGATAGGAATGCGGAAGAGTTTTTGGTCTTCCGACAATTTTCGGGTAGGAATGCGGAATAGTCATTCATTTCCGCATTCCTATCCTACCCTACCCGCAATAATTTTTTAATATATATATATATATAAACTTAAAAAACCCTAAACCCTAAACCCTAACCATAGGCGGAGCAATTATGATTTTAATGTATTTCATATGGTTTAAAGTTTAAACTTAAATTAATTTTTATTGTATTTGTGTAACAATTATGGTAGATTGATGTTCATATTTTTTTGTGTTTTATTATAATTCTTGTTGCAGTTGTTTTAGATTTTAGTATTAATTGATTTATTATGTTGTTAAATTGGTGCATGTTATTTAATTAAATTGTTAAAATGATCCAAAAATTAATTGTTACAAAAATATTTACCCAACTTTCTACCCGATTAATCGGGTAGAAATAATACCACACCTGTCGGGTAGGGTTGGACAAGAAAAAATTCTTCCACAAATTATCGGATAGGAAGACGGAAGAACATATTTCCTACCTGTAGGGTAGGATGAACACCCCTAGTTGTTGGTGCTAATTTTGGCCTGCTATGGAATCACAAAAGTGGAGTTATGGTCTTTCTTTCATATTAGTGGTGTTTTGGGGCTGATTTTTCATGCTTTGATTTTGTCTTCCATGCTCTGATTGTGTTTTGAGCCTTTTTGGCCTTTTGGGGTTTTTTGGTGTTTGTCTTTGAGTCTTACGTGACGTGATTATACAATCTATGAGTGATTACCTTTGTATATCTTTTTTATTTTAATACATTTTATCTTTTGAAAAAAAAAATTGCCCATTATATATAGCATTCTTTGATGACTACAACAAAAAATATTTTCATCTTTCTCATGAGGATATCCACGTGTCATATTGTTCCCAAGATACAATGGACCCAGATTGAACTTTGAGAATGAAAGAAAAATAATGTCACAAGAAGGCAAGAGAGAGTTCTGGAAGAATAGAAATGTTTTGGTGTAAATGAAATGGAATGAATGCACTCTTATTTAGAGAGAGGGAAGAAGTGCAAATGTATCTTTTTACAAAAAGACACAATTTCATGAAAAGATACCTTCACATTAAAAGACATTTTTTCATAAAGACACAATTTCATAACAAGACACATATATGCATGAAAATACACATATTCATAAGTAAAGGTAGACATTCATTTATTAAAGGACATTCTTTCATGAAAAGACACTTATTCATTACAAAACATAAAGAATTACAACTATAAACATTCACCTACTCATTTTTTTTTCATGGAAAAGCATCTATTCATAATAATATATGAAGGGTTACAACTCTACACTATTGAATTTGCCTTCTCATAGGTTTGGTTGGTAAATAGTTGTGGGAGTATAGAACTAACAATATGACAGCTGATGATTAAGGTTGTACTTCTCTCCCTCACGCAGCAGAAATCACGTTGCTCTTGGTGAATGACTAGGAAGATTGAGGATGGGATCATCATCAGGTAAAAAAATTTTAGTGTTGAGTGCAGTGAAAACCAGCAAACCAGCAGCGACCAGAACAGATAGGGCTGAGAGAATGAACGTTATGGCCTGAGCTACCCAACCATTCACCTGCTGTGCATATTTTGTTGAAGCTAGAGCCAGCACTGTTATGGGGAAAGAGTAAGCCCACCATGCCACATTATACCTTCTCATTGATTTCTTGAAGAGGGCTGGCCTGCAAATCTGTCTTGATCAGAAAACAAGAAAAATATCAATCGTTGTCAACAAAATTAATTCTTTCATTTTTTCTTGGGAAAATTATTAATAAGTCCTAGTTTTCCTCTAAAAGAATTATTAAATCATATCATGTTTACCTTAGGATAATTAAGTCCTAATTTTGATAATTTATTCCTAATGATGCACAAAATGACTTTGTACACCACCTGTTAAGTGTAAATAATAAATGCAGTAAAAATAAAGAGAAAATTGGAGGAGACAAGATTTATAGTGGTTTGGTCAACGTGACCTACGTCCACTCTTGAATGGCTTTGGTTGCCGGGTGCTTTTATTAGTTAAAGGGTGTGGGGAGCAGAGAGTACAAGCTTTGAGGGAGAAGAGAGAGTCGTGGTCAAGTAAAGTGCGATGCCCCCAGGTGTTGGAGGGGCGTGCAATTTATAATCGTCCTCCTAACAAATTTGGGTGAGGTATTAACAACTACATAACTATTCTAATGGAGTTCACGACTTCTCTTCAACAGGCTAGACAGTTGTGGTGCTCTTCATGAGATTCAGTCAAATGATGACGTGGATGTTGACTCTTTTCAAGGGGAAAAGGATAAGGCTCTTGATGCTCTCTTGATGATGTGGCGTAGCTTCTTGATGAGTCTGACTGCAAAGTGGCTAGGATGAGCCTTCTTACTCCAATGCGGCTATGATGAGCCTTACTCTAAGGTGGTAGAGGAGGTATTAGATGACCTTGTATGCTCCTCTACTGATGTAACTTGTGGAATCTGATGAACTTGATCGGATACAGACTCCTTTGGACTTGGCTAGTTGGACTTATTGGAGTTGAGCCCTTGGGCTTAGCCCATCGATTCCCAATGTCCTATTCTCCATCAATAGTATGTTTTCTTCTAACATACTTATTGGTTTTTTTTTTCCAAATTTATTCCTAATAAGTCTTAAGGTAAATATGATAAGACTTATTTGAAGGAAAAGTAGGACTTATCAATATTTTTTCCTTTTTTTTCTTTGGTTTATATAAAAAAAAGTCTAAAGCATTCATGGTAGCAAACGGTTTTTAATGATTTTATGACGTTTTCAAAATTATTCCTATCCCAAAAAATACATTTTCAGAATAAGTACTAATCACAAGCATCCATGCATGAATTCAACTAGAGGTGACAAATAGGCGTGTTGAGTTGGTTATGGGTCGATTCACAATGAGTTGAGCGCAAAACAAATCCAATTCATTTTTAACCCGCTTAATAAATGAGTTATAATGGGTTAGATCATCACAAGTTTGGTTCAACCTATTAACACGTAAAATATTTGAAACTCTTAATATAGATACATACTAATACACCAAATCAAACATATGCTAATACATAAAAAAAAAAGTATACACATTAATACACATGGATGAATCTGGGTCTGGGTCCAGGGTTGAGTCTAGGATCGGGGTTGGGGTCAGGGTTGGGGGGTGTGGGGGTGTTTTTTTTGGTTGTGTATTTGTATATATGTGTGTATTAGTGTGTGTGTATTTTTTTGGTATATATTAGTTTCTATATTTGATTTTATTGTTTTTTTTTATTTAATTACAAATATAAATACTCAACTCAATAGATATTTATTTGTAATTCATCTTAACCCGCTTAATTAAAATGATTCATATTATCCAATCTATTTAAAACTTACATTAATTAATATAAATACCTAACTCATTTATTTATGGACGGATTAATGAGTAATGGGTTAAGTTGCTACCTCCAAATTCAACCGATCAAATTGTGATTAGGTTGTGTCCGATTCAAATTTGAATTAGGAACTATGATTTAATTTCGACTTAATTATTTGACAAATTTTATTTTCATAATCAAATCTATTAATAGTAAAAAATTCAATCTAAAGATGCCATCTGAATTACTAAATGACATTGACTATTAATAATTTCACCTTAATTTCATAAAAAAAAAATCAATGTCATCATATATTTAGATACATATGAATATAATTTGGAAGAATTCTGTCACATGTTAATATGGAATTAAATTTTTTACAGCTTGGCCATAAATCAACAATTTGCAGAGAACCAATTGAAAGCCGACAGCTCAGCTCAGTGGGCCCACATTAATGTTCGTCCCGTACCCCTCTCTTCTCTCTGTCCTCTTGTTCCTGCTGTTTCTCACCGGTAAAGAAACTCGGCTCAAGTGGGCCAAAATCAAAGTTGCTGTCTCCCAAATGTCCCTCACACCACCGACCTAACACTCCACGGCACCATTCACCCCCCACCGTCAGTCGGCCACAACCCTTTCTTACTCTCAATACAGAATAATCACCAACACCCACCGAGAGATGGAGAAACAAATATAATTTTTTTGCAATAGATCTCATACTACCCATATCTAAGTCAAATAAGAAGAAGAAATACTGTTTCGATCAAATCCAACTTGTTTCTGAATTGATTGATTATTTTGTTAACTGGTTGTTTTAAAATGGTTTTGAATCTGCTAATTATTGAAAAATTGGTTTGATTGGAGAAAAAATCAGTCTGTGTATGTGTGAAAAAAACAAGAGAAGAAAGGAAAATGGGCGAACACCGAGCGGTGGGTGACTGTGTGTTTGCGTCGTGTGAGTTTCTGCACCAGTGAGAAACAGCAGGAAGAAGAGGAGAGAGAGGTGTACCGGTACAGGACGAACTTTGATGGTGGGGCCACTTTAGCTGAGCTGTCAGGTTTTAATTGGTTCTCTGCAAATTGAATCCCTACCGCTGCTAATATATCAAAATCTGAATACTTAATACAAAGAGTAATGACGAATTGATACATGTACGGACTCGTCTTAATTTAATATAAGACCAATAAAACACATAATTTTGCAGTCACCATCAACACCGCACGGCCGGATAAAATGCTACAAGACAACACCAACCCCCATGTAGATGTAGGCACTTCAATATATTTTATATATATATATATATATTTATTTTTTTGTCTGGAAGTGTTTATTTTCCGTTCTATTACGTTGTAAATAAATGAGAAACAAAAAATCCTTCGTAGTCAATTCTCATGCACATGCAACAGAAGCTGTGTAATTTTAAAACATTTTATATTATTTTATTATAACTCATTTAAAAAACTGGTTAAATATGTTTGTTGGTGAGCTATAATATAATTAGGCATCAACCTAAGCAGATCATTTACGGTCCTCTACCTTAATTAATACCTCCAGAAAGTGAATAAACCCTAATTCTAATGCAACATTACCAGTGACGCGAAGAGGAAGAGAGAGAGAAAGAACAACATCTTTGAAGCAGTATCGAAAGTTCCAGCTATGGAGTTCCAAGCCAAGCTCGCAATGCTCGGCGCTGCGAAGAACAAGAAAAACACCGGCCGTAACATCTCCGGCAGTCGATCACCACCAGATAGCCTCTGATAAAGTGTAACAAAAATTACCAAGTAATGAACCATTCCTAGAGAAAAGAAGCACACGGCCGCCTCATGCCACCCCATCTGGGAGGCGGCACTGGCCCCAACCAAGTTTCCGATCACCGATATCTGGCTCGTTGGATTCGCCACCGCCGTTAGAAACCTCTTTCCTTTTGTGAACCACTGGCCATAAATTTTCACATCGAGCACCACAATAGGAACTGCAAAAACCCACCAAAGAACTTGATACGAGGCGTTTTTCTGAGCAACAAACGGAGTTGATTGAAGTAAGAGCAGCCATGAAATCCAAGGAGTAAATTGGTAGTTCACTCCAACATGGTGCAAGAACTCTTTCTTCACCATGCTAAAGCGAAACAAGCATCTCAAGATGTAGAGGAGAGATAGTGTAACTAGGGTTAAGAAGGCAAAGGACCACAGCACAATAACAACAGTTGGGTATATCACGTGAGGCATGTGACGAATTGAACTATCAGTTGGCTCAAGGAGGGTCTTCCACAGTAAGGCTTGTCCACCAAGAGAGAGACTAATCCTGAAATAACCTGCATGAAATCTGGTTAAGATGGAGGATAAGGATCTTTGAGCAATGACGATGGAGACACTGCAGCCATGATCTCTGGTGGTCGGATTAATGTAGGGTATCTCAATCGCAAGCTCAATCTCCGATACGGACCTTTGGCTCTCCATTGAAATATAGGATCATCAAGCTTGTAGGCCCGTGCAATTTTGGTTTGTGAATTAGTGCATAGACCCATGTTAATTTAGACTGTGTTATATAGAGAAAGAGGTCAGAGTGAGACATAGGAAGGGAAGCAATAGAATAGTGAGACTATGCATTTTGCTGGTTGAAATTGTCCATGGTATTGAATAGTCAACTGCTAAGGTAAGCTCTCCTTTCAATTGTTAGTCATTTTCATAGGTTTAATTATGGGGGTGTTAATTAAGTTGAAACTGGAACTCGACTCAAATATTAAATTAGTTTAAAAACTTAAGCATGTTCACTTGTATTGTACGTTGAATGAGTTTCAACAAATCAAAATTTACGGCGGCTTGGTTCCTTTGAGAGCCCTATATTCAAGTTTCATCCAATTAAATGAGAATTATTTCAACCAAATAAAGCATGCGCACATTCATTGAAGTTGACGGGACATTTCTGCCACCAACCCCAAAAGAATTGACATATATTACAAGCAAGACACACTACAATAAAAATTAACAAGTAATAAATATTTTTTAGTAGGCTAGCCATATATATCTCTCTAGATGGGCGGGTACACAGAAAACAGCTTTCTAAATCCTCTATATATATAGGTAGAGACTCAAACAAGAGAGGGCCTCAAGTATCGGCTCTATATTTTACACACACTCTATCGCCTATTTCAGTTATAGATCGCGATACTGACTTAGGCATCGAAGGAATCTCCCTTGACTCAATGCCGCGAGTCCCTCTAACCTTTTTTTACCTTGTAACTCACAGATTGGATGATACTCGAAGACTAGGGCACACTTCGACATACATCAATTATTGGCAGATTTTTATTCGCGCATAAGTGGTAGACTACATAGAGTTGTCTATTGTCATTTAAGAGAAAATCTCAAAATTGTTAAAGTCTAAAAGTAGCAATACATGGTTTAACCTCACAACTTCACATGTCCAGCCCAAAACTCAATTGAGTGTGCTGAGTTGGATTAGATAATTTGGGCTTATTTCATTGCCGGGTTCAGCTTCTTCTTTTCTTTCATATTCTTTTTTTTTTATTATTATTTTTTGAAAAGTAAACAAAATTAAATACAGCTCCTAGAATAAGAGACACTAACCAGATCGGCCTTAAGACATTCCCCAATCTTTTTTTTTTTTTTTTTGGGGGGGGGGGGGGGGGTGGTGGTTCAAGCTCCACAAAGACCTCCTATTGATGTACTCCCAAGTTCGCAAGGATATTCGCACATTGGTAATATTGTGAGTTGCATTTAATATCATAGAGATAATAATATTTTGAATTGCATTTAAAATTGGGGCCCTGTTTGAAAAATAAGTTACATTGACAATACTAAATTGACTGAAATTGTAGTAGTGGGAATTACTCACCTCGTATAGAGTGGTGGATTGGACGAGTTTAGTATATCAAACTGAGTATTGGAGTGTATATGGCACCTACTCATGTTTTTTTGCCTTCATAGTATACAGATGTAACATCATACCGAAAATGTCATGGGCGAGCTCCATTTGATTAGATGAGTTTTAGTCATCCAATAAATGCAACAACGATTCCACTTTGACAAATTTTGTTAACCAAATTTGCTGACAAATGAAATGTTACGGTTAAATTAACAATTGATACTAACATTGGAGTATGTGCTGGATGGACTATGTTGTTAATTCACTAAAGCTAAATTCAATTAATAAATTTGAACAAATTAATATCCATGAAAATCTCATACTCACTTTATTTTCTATCCAACAACGGGACATTAGGAAATTTCAATACAAAATGTGTGGGGCATCATATGGACCACATCTTAGTGAACAATTAATGGACCATTGATCTAACTAAACTTGTTTTGATGATTTTAAGAAGGGATGGATGAAACCAAATTTGGTTTGGACTGCCTAACTTTAACTTTCATGAATTGACTTCATTGTTGTGATGTTTCGCGTTTTTGGTTTTGTTGTGAGATTGAGAGAAAAGAAGGAAAAAAGAAATCGTTTGACAAAAATGACTACACATTTCACTTCAGGTATGTAAGAGAGTGCTTAGTTTAAAAACTGAGCTTTATGTTAATTGGTCTATCATAGCCAATGTGTGGCCTTCGTTTAGATGTTTGTACGTGTTTTAATTGATATATTATATGTTATCATGTAGAGCCATTATTCGTTGGTTCTAATTTGTTCTGGTGGAGTTGTTTATATTGCTAATTTGCATAGAGTTAAAAAAAAAAAGAAAAAAACAAATTAGTCATTAGTGTTTGACAATATGTATTGGATATTTATCTAAATAGCTTTTGACCGATATGTAGGTAAAATAAAATTGTAACTTGGATAGGTTTGGTTTGAAATTTGTTGACTAAAAAACTCAATTTGTAATTTTTATTATGAGTACAATTCTCTTACAACATATGCAGGTCGCAATGGAGACTGTGCTTAAGATCATAAAGNGTTGAGCTAGCTCCATTTGATTAGATGAGTTTTAGTCATCCAATAAATGCAACAACGATTCCACTTTGACAAATTTTGTTTACCAAATTTGCTGACAAATGAAATGTTACGGTTAAATTAACAATTGATACTAACATTGGAGTATGTGTTGGATGGACTATGTTGTTAATTCACTAAAGCTAAATTCAATTAATAAATTTGAACAAATTAATATCCATGAAAATCTCATACTCACTTTATTTTCTATCCAACAACGGGACATTAGGAAATTTCAATACAAAATGTGTGGGGCATCATATGGACCACATCTTAGTGAACAATTAATGGACCATTGATCTAACTAAACTTGTTTTGATGATTTTAAGAAGGGATGGATGAAACCAAATTTGGTTTGGACTGCCTAACTTTAACTTTCATGAATTGACTTCATTGTTGTGATGTTTCGCGTTTTTGGTTTTGTTGTGAGATTGAGGGAAAAGAAGGAAAAAAGAAATCATTTGACAAAAATGACTACACATTTCACTTCAGGTATGTAAGAGAGTGCTTAGTTTAAAAACTGAGCTTTATGTTAATTGGTCTATCATAGCCAATGTGTGGCCTTCGTTTAGATGTTTGTACGTGTTTTAATTGATATATTATATGTTATCATGTAGAGCCATTATTCGTTGGTTCTAATTTGTTCTGGTGGAGTTGTTTATATTAGGGTTAAAAAAAAAAAGAAAAAAACAAATTAGTCATTAGTGTTTGACAATATGTATTGGATATTTATCTAAATAGCTTTTGACCGATATGTAGGTAAAATAAAATTGTAACTTGGATAGGTTTGGTTTGAAATTTGTTGACTAAAAAACTCAATTTGTAATTTTTATTATGAGTACAATTCTCTTACAACATATGCAGGTCGCAATGGAGACTGTGCTTAAGATGATAAAGTAAACCGTGAAGTTTTTAGTTTTCCATTTCTCATTTTCATATATGATTGATGTCTGGAGAAGCGAATTAGTGACAATGTGGGCGGGCATTCAGTTATGTTCGATTTTATTCATTCAACGATCAAATTTCTGCATTTGAAAACATTTTACAATTAATCTAATAGTATTTGCGTTTTGTTTGTTACATACAACAATTGTACATAGAGTGTGCACCATGAAAAATGACATATACATCGTACAACTAAGCTCTCCCAGAAAATCAATGCTCGATTTTTTTATATTGTACAATANTTAATCTAATAGTATTTGCGTTTTGTTTGTTACATACAACAATTGTACATAGAGAGTGTGCACCATGAAAAATGACATATACACCGTACAACTAAGCTCTCCCAGAAAATCAATGCTCGATTTTTTTATATTGTACAATATCTTCAAACACGAGTTATTTCTAGTAAATACAAATTTTGCGTATTGTCAATTTGCCTGAAAATACTGCCGTGTTATTGTTTTCGGAGGTAAGTGATCTGACCGGAGATTTTGTCAAACAGAGCTGCTTGGCTACCCAATAGTCAAATGGCGTTTCCAGAATTCGCGATGCCTAGATTTGTGTCCACAACTCTTAGCCATTAGATGCAAGAACCCAACTTAAATATTCTATACGCTTAAATATTTTAAATTTAAATTGAACCTAAATTCTACAATTTGGACTAAAATTTGTAAATAATTTTTAAGTTTACATTTTGATTAAAATTTGTGTTTAATAATTTAGGATCAATTCAAGGTTTATTTAAAATTAGATCCAAATTTAGCAATTCGAGTTTGATTTCGCAAGTTTGAATACATATGGTGCAAATTCAAATCAGAATGGGTGTTTTTTGCTTAAACCCAGTTTTATTACTGAAAATTTCTGTCTAAAATACTGAATAATCTAAATTAACCCGTCCAAGTCACATCCTTTTTGTACTGCAGCCAAGTCAATCCTATGAAATTTTCCTATCATCCAAATAATGCACGACCGCAATTATCTCCAAGTGAAGTCTGTCACCTTAGTCTGCCTTTTTTTTTTTTTTTTCTTTCTACAGGTTTTAGATTTACATTGACTACTTCTTCAAATTCAACAGTTGGTCACCGGGGCTTGAGCTAGGTTAGAATAAGGGTGGTTAACCCTTATGAGATGTAAGAAAAGATTAAATTTGAAATCTCTGAATTACCAAAAATTTAGCGTCAACCACTGAAACAAGGTTACCTAGTTTGCCTTCACAGTGGGCGAGATTTGCACAAATCACTCCAAGTTTAGAACCTCCGCATACAGAGAAGAGATGATCTTGACATGACGTTATCCCAAGAAGCGTAGACAATGAAGTAGAAAACTAACAAAAGAAAGCTAAAATCTATAATTATTCGACTTGCAGGTCAAAACATGACTATTTGCTCTCGTGGATCATGACAAGTCCTTTAAATTATAGTTTCTTGTAATGACGTTCCTCTCATTCAAAGAGTCCTACGATGATCACTGATTTGCCTGTCGTCTTCATGATGCTTTTGATATCTTTTGTTTGATTTTCCACATTTTTTCTTGCCAACCTTTTTATAATATATTCTGTATATTGAACTTTCATTGGTGATATCACTTACAAATCCTGGTTTACCCATTGTTATATATGAGTGCTAGACTGCCAAAAAAAAGGGGTTGTTCTAGCTTAATTAAGGTTCTCGGTTCGAGACTTGGAAATACAACTGTGTTAAATACTCGGTAAGGAGAGTTTTTTGTCCTTGTGGTCCTGCCCCGGTTCGAATCCAGATCAGTCGGAGTCCGTTGTGGTTACAGGATACCGGATAGTTTACACAAAAAGAGGGGGGGGGGGGGGTTAAAAAACAAACAGATATAAAATGATGCAAGGTTAGCCTACTTGTACATTGGTCTCCCAGTTCTTAGTTAGTCTAAACATTGTATAGCATTCAAATTTGATAACTAAAACTAAAACTATTTTCTTCTTTCTCAGGATGATACCTACATGTCGTCTACATTAATTGTACATATGGTACATGATCATCTATCTCACCGATATGATGAGTCTAAAAATCAACTTTTCCGAAGTAAAGGTAAGACTATATAGCCGTTAACTTTCTTAGATGATGCTATAAGCAAGAAATTTGTAGTATGAGTACAAGTAAACGATGAATTTGCTTTCTCATAGGTTTGGTTGGTAAATAGTCATGGCAGTACAGAACAAACATTAATATGGTAGCTGATAATCTAGATTGCATCTCTCTCTCTCCCCCAGCCGAAATCATGTTGCTCTTGGTGAATGAATGGGAAGAGTGAGAATGGGATCATCATCAGGTAAAAGCATTTTAGTGTTGAGTGCAGTAAAAACTACCAAACCAGCAGCGACCAGAACAGAGAGGACTGAGAGAATGAGCATTATGGCCTGAGCTATTCTACCATTCACCTGCTGTGCATATCTTGTTGAAGCTAGAACCAGCTCTGTTATGGGGAAAGAGTAAGCCCACCATGCCACATTATACCTTCTCATTGATTTCTTGAAAAGGGCCGGCCTGCAAATCTGTCTTCATCAGGAAAAGAAGGAAAATATCAATTGCTTTCAACAAAATTAATTCTTTCGTTTTTTCTTTGTTTTTTAAATAAAAAAAATCAAAATAATAATTTTGTCCTCTAGTAACATTTCAAGAATTGTACCTACCCCAAAAAANGGAAAAGAAGGAAAATATCAATTGCTTTCAACAAAATTAATTCTTTCGTTTTTTCTTTGGTTTTTAAATAAAAAAAATCAAAATAATAATTTTGTCCTCTAGTAACATTTCAAGAATTGTACCTACCCCAAAAAATGCATTTCCAGTACTAATCACAAACATCCATGCATGAATTCATGTGGTCAACCCGTGATTAGGTTGTGTCTGACTCATATTTGAATTAAGAACTATAATTCAAATCCGACTTGATTATCTAACCAATTTTATTTTTATAGCCAGTATTAAAACCTATTTGATATACTAATGTCCAATCTGACTCGACNTAGTCAACCCGCGATTAAGTTGTGTCTGACTCATATTTGAATTAAGAACCATAATTCAAATCCGACTTGATTATCTAACCAATTTTATTTTTATAGCCAGTATTAAAACCTATTTGATATACTAATGTCCAATCTGACTCGACATTTCATTGGTGATACCACTTACAAATCCTGGTTTATCCATTGTCAAGGCCGGCCGACATATCATTGGTGATACCATTTACAAATCCTGGTTTATCCATTGTCAAGGCCGGCCCTAGGCCTGGGCCACTTAGTTGGCCGCCTAAGGCCTCCAATTTTTATAAAATTTTGGGGTCTTCTATTAAGAGTTTTAGTTATGAGTACATGTATTTTGGATGAACTAATTTGAGAGGACCAAAATTTTATTGATAGGTCCATTAACACTTCAACAATTTACCTAAAAAAATTTTCTACGTGCCAATTATAGTAGACTGATAGACTTCTGACACAAGAAAGATAGACAACTAGATGTCTCTTTCTCTCTCTCTCTCATGTGCGAAGGAATTAATCAAATCTCCCGACGTTACTCTATTTCTCTCGCACAAATTTATCAACTGCTATCATTACGAGATTTACTCACAAACCATAGTGTTTGTTTAACGCCACTCCCTCATGCCCTCTCTCTNGCCACTTAGTTGGCCGCCTAAGGGCCCCTACTTTTATAAAATTTTGGGTCTTCTATTAAGAGTTTTAGTTATGAGTATATGTATTTTGGATGGATTGAGAGGACCAAAATTTTATTGATAGGTCCATTAACACTTCAACAATTTACCTAAAAAAATTTTCTACGTGCCAATTATAGTAGACTAAAAAATTTTTCTACGTGTCAATTATAGTAAACTGTTAGACTTCTGACACAAGAAAGATAGACAACTAGATGTCTCTTTCTCTCTCTCTCTCATGTGCGAAGGAATTAATCAAATCTCCCGACGTTACTCTATTTCTCTCGCACAAATTTATCAACTGCTATCATTACGAGATTTACTCACAAACCATAGTGTTTGTTTAACGCCACTCCCTCATGCCCTCTCTCTGTGAAGTGTGAAGCCTGAATCTGAACAAAGAAAGAACACAAAAACTCTCTATTCTCTTGTAGTTCAAAAATTCATCAATTAATTGATAGCGATCAAGATTCAAGGGTTAAAATTTTTTGGGCTCAATCTATTATAATAAACTGGTTTGTTCAATTGTTCTCTCATTTTTTGCTAGAAATGTTTAGAAGTTTGGTGTNGTCCTCTCTCTGTGAAGTGTGAAGCCTGAATCTGAACAAAGAAAGAACACAAAAACTCTCTATCCTCTTGTAGTTCAAAAATTCATCAATTAATTGATAGCGATCAAGATTCAAGGGTTAAAATTTTTTGGGCTCAATCTATTATAACAAACTGGTTTGTTCAATTGTTCTCTCATTTTTTGCTAGAAATGTTTAGAAGTTTGGTGTGCTTAGAATTTGTAATGAGTTGATTTCATATTTTTAATATTATTGTTGATTTATCTTTTTATGACAAAAACTTAGATGCTTGAATCTTTATAGTTGATTGTTGAAGGTCTAACTTATATAAAACAATTAAATTCTTTTCGAAATGCATGTATAGTGTTTAGAATATTGCAGTAACAATTGCTTCAGTAGAGAAAAGTTTTTCAAAATTTAAATTAATAAAATCTTATCTCCAATTAACTATGTCACAAAAAAAGATTAAATGGATTAACTATATTATCTATTGAAAAAGCTATATAACAAAACTTGAATATAAAAATTTAATTAATATTTTTGTATTTCAAAAAGCTAGAAAAATAGCTTTTAAAAAAATATATTTTAATAATTGTTGCCTATTAATAGGACCCTGCTTCATATTCTCGCCTAAGAATTTCGGATTTGTTGGGCCGCCCTGCCCATTGTTATAAAAAAACATTCATTAGATGTATAGATATAATTTGGAAGAATCCGATCACAAATTAGTATATCATTTAAATACGTGTAATACAAAGTAATTGAATTGATACATGTTTGNTGATATTATTGTTGATTTATCCTTTTATGACAAAAACTTAGATGCTTGAATCTTTATAGTTGATTGTTGAAGGCCTAACTTATATAAAACAATTAAATTCTTTTCAAAATGCATGTATAGCGTTTAGAATATTGCGGTAACAATTGCTTCAGTAGAGAAAAGTTTTTCAAAATTTAAATTAATAAAATCTTATCTCCAATCAACTATGTCACAAAAAAAGATTAAATGGAATAACTATATTATCTATTGAAAAAGCTATATAACAAAACTTGAATATAAAAATTTAATCAATATTTTTGTATTTCAAAAAGCTAGAAAAATAGCTTTTAAAAAAATATATTTTAATAATTGTTGCCTATTAATAGGACCGTGTTTCATATTCTCGCCTAAGAATTTCGGATTTGTTGGGCCGCCCTGCCCATTGTTATAAAAAAACATTCATCAGATGTATAGATATAATTTGGAAGAATCCGATCACATATTAGTATATCATTTAAATACGTGTAATACAAAGTAATTGAATTGATACATGTTTGGAATCTCCCACATTGCGATAAACATGGAATATAATTTAATTTAATATAAGACCAATAATACAAATAATTTTGCAATCCATCAATGCTGCGCCGATCAAATACTACAAGACAACACCAACCCTCAGGTAGGCACCTCAATATATTTTACATTTTTTGTCGAGAAATGTATATTTTACATTTTATTATATTTTAAATAAATGAGGAAAGAATAAAAAATATCTTTCGTAGTCACATCTCATGCACNATGCTGCGCCGATCAAATACTACAAGACAACACCAACCCTCAGGCAGGCACCTCAATATATTTTACATTTTTTGTCGAGAAATGTATATTTTACATTTTATTATGTTTTAAATAAATGAGGAAAGAATAAAAAATATCTTTCGTAGTCACATCTCATGCACATGCAACAAAAAAAAAAAAAAAAAAAAGTTGTATTATTTTAAAACACCTTCTATTAGTTTATTCTCAACTTATAAAAAATTGGTAAAATATTTTTGTTAGGTTATTATAATTTAATTAGGCATCGATCTAAGTAGATCTTTCACGCTCCCCTACCTTAATCAATACTTCCTGAAAGTCAATAAACCCTAATTCAAATGCAACATTACCAGTGACGCGAAGAGGAAGAGAGAGAGAAAGAACAGCATCTTTGAAGCAGTATCGAAGGTTCCAGCTATGGAGTCCCAAGCCAGACTCGCTATGCTCGGCGCTGCGAAGAACAAGAAAAACAAAGGCCGTAGCATCGCCGGAAGCCGATCACCACCAGATAGCCTCTGATAAAGAGTAACAAAAAGTACCAAGTAATGAACCATTCCTAGAGAAAAGAAGCACACCGCCACCTCTTGCCACCCCATCTGGGAGGCGGCACTGGCCCCAACCAAGTTTCCGATCACCGATATCTGGCTCGTCGGATTTGCCACCGCCGTTAGAAATCTCTTTCCCTTTGTGAACCACTGGCCGTAGATTTTCACATCGAGCACCACAATCGGAACTGCAAAAACCCACCAAAGAACTTGATACGAGGCGTTTTTCCGAGCGACAAACGGAGCTGATTGAAGTAAGAGCAGCCATGAAATCCAAGGAGCAAATTGGTAGTTCACTCCAACGTGGTGCAAGAACTCTTTCTTCACCATGCTAAAGCGGAAGAAGCACCTCAAGATGTAGAGGAGAGAGAGTCTAACTAGGGTCAAGAAAGCAGAAGACCACAGCACAATAACAGCAGTTGGGTATATCACATGAGGCATGTGACGAAGAATTGTTGAACTATGATAAGTTGGCTCCAGGAGCGTCTTCCACAGTAAGGCTAGTCCACCAAGAGAGAGACTAATCCTGAAATAACCTGCATGGAATTTGGTTAAGATGGAGGACAGAGATCTTTGAGCAACCACGACAGAGACATGGTGGCGATGATCTCCCGTCGTCGGATTAATGGAGGGTATTGGTATCTCAATCGCAAGCTCAATCTCCGATACAGACCTTTGGCTCTCCATTGGAATATAGGATCATCAAGCCTATAGGAACGAGTAGTTTTGGTTTGTGAATTAGTGGATAGAGACATGTTAATTTAGACTGTGTTATATAGAGAAAGCGGTCAGAGTGAGACAAAGGAATGAAGGGAAGTCAAATGCTAAGGTAAGCTCTCATTTTAATTTTTGGTCATTTTCATGGGTTTTCTTCATGATTTTATGGTTACTTAGACCACAAGTGGTGGAATTTGTGGGTACTTAGCAGGTTTTATTGTATACCAGTTGTAAACTTGTTTAAGGGAAAGGGAATATATTTAATGAAATAATATAGAAAAAAATAAAACCAATATTCAATTATGGGATTTCAATCAAGCTGTAACTGAAACTCTACTCGAATATTAAATTAATTTAAAAAATTGAGCATCTTCACTTATATTGTACTATAAATGAATTTGAATAAGTTAAAATTGAGTTAGCCCTGAGCCTAATTCCGGTGGCTTAGTTCATTTGAGAGCCCTATATTCGAGTCTCATCTAATGAAATGGGAATTATTTCAACCAAATACAGCATGCGCACATTCATTGAAGTGGTAGACTNCTTTACTCGAATATTAAATTAATTTAAAAAATTGAGCATCTTCACTTATATTGTACTATAAATGAATTTGAACAAGTTAAAATTGAGTTAGCCCTGAGCCTAATTCCGGTGGCTTGGTTCATTTGAGAGCCCTATATTCGAGTCTCATCTAATCAAATGGGAATTATTTCAACCAAATACAGCATGCGCACATTCATTGAAGTGGTAGACTGTATAGAGTTGTCTATTGTCATTTAAGAGAAAATCTCAAAATTGTTAAAGTCCAAAAGTAGCAATACATGGTTTAACCTCACAACTTCACTGTTTTACTTACCCCCCCCGGGGAGGGGAAGAAATTTAACAAGTCCTATAGGGTCGGAAACAAATAGTGTCAAGGCCAGGGTCAGCCCAAAACCTTTTTGTCATTGAGTATGCTGAGTTGGATTAGGTAATTTAGGCCTCTATTTTATTGTTGGGTTCAGCTTCTTCTTTTCTTTCATTTTTTTTAATAAATTTGGAAAGTAAACAAAATTAAATAGAGTTCCCAAAATAAGGGACACTAACCAGATCGGCCTTAAGACATCCCCAATCTGGGGTGGGGGTGAATTGATGTACTCTCAGGTTTGCAAGAATATCCGCACATTGATTGTCTTTCCTTCTTAAGAGTATGATTCCTCTTGCTCATGTGGCTTACAGCCGGCAATGATGCCCCTGTTAGGATGCAATTCCTATGAAAAATGGAACACAGCACTGGCTTGGTTGGGTTGAATCTTGAATGTGATTTGCCGTATGCTTAAAAGTCTTATCCACCACCCAGCATGGACATCTTTATTGAGCATCATAGATATGATAGTAGTGTTGAGTTGCATTTAAAATATGTGCTCCTTTTGAGAAATAATTTTCATTAATTATACTAAATTGGCTGAAATTGTTGTAGTGGATATTATTTGCCTCTTATAGAGTGGTAAATCGGGTAGATTGGATGAGTTTAGTATGTAAAATTGATTAGTGAAGTGTTACATGATTCCACATCATTTTTTAATTTATTATATTCATAAAAATTATNGTAAATCGGGTAGATTGGATGAGTTTAGTATGTAAAATTGAATACTGAAGTGTTACATGATTCCACATCATTTTTTAATTTATTATATTCATAAAAATTATTAGTGATGTAAAAAAAATTTGAAATTTATATTTTGAAAATTATTATGCATAATCTCTGCATGCATTTAATAATTTTTTTATTTTTACACAAAATTCCAAAAAAGCTAGAAAGTGATCTCAAATGGACTTTTTTAATAATTTCAATTTTTTTAAAGAACACCCAAAATAATTTTGAGAAATTTTTTTACCTCTAATTTTTTTAAGAAAATCTCATAGTCCAAACTAAACTAATGAGGCACCCAATCGCAATTCGTAATCTAATCAAACAGTCCACTAACACCGAACTTCAAAATGTAGATCATGAACCTCGCTCAGATCTCTCTCTCTCAAACTTCTGATCTATACACAAACCTCACTCTCCCTTCACCTCGAAACGAAAACCTCCTTATCCTCACTCAACTCTGGCGATCGCTTAAACAATGCGCAATTCCTCTTAATCAACGGCCTCTATTCTCAGATCTAAGGTAAGAAATTACACAGCACAATTCGGTCTTCGAGATTGCTTTCAAATTGAATTGATTCAGTGTTGTATGATGTTTCTGGTTAGGTTTTGAGCTTTCAGATTGGGAAGGAACAATGTTGACGAAGTTTGAAACGAAAAGTAACCGAGTTAAGGGACTGAGTTTCCATAGCAAGAGGCCATGGATCTTGGCGAGTCTTCATAGCGGTGTCATCCAGCTATGGGACTATCGCATGGGGACTCTAATTGATCGTTTCGAGGAGCACGATGGACCTGTTCGTGGTGTGCATTTCCACAAGTCTCAGCCACTCTTCGTCTCTGGAGGTCTAGAATCTGCTTCACTGCTACTCTTTGATCACTCGATCAATTACCAACTTTTTTCCCCGTTTATATCATATAGCGCTCTAGAATGTGTCTGTTGATCCTTGTCGATGAAATTCATGACCGTTATGTATAGGATTCCGTGCGGCCTCTCCGCCTCTGTTTGGTTGTTCAGAAAATGTAAAGAAGGCAATTAAAAAAAATATAAACTGCATTTGAATACTGATGTGAGTCAAAATACGTAAAGCATAATATGCAGAATGTATGGGGGAAAATCCTGACCGGTGCAGAAAATCGGCACCTGTCAGGCTAGAGCTAGATCACATAAAGCGGGGTGGGAGCGGTAGATCAAACGAATCAATATTCAAAAAAATTTGAGAGCGGGATTGTCTTGAGTGCATCATATTATATGCATACAAATACACATTCACCTATAAAAGTTTAATATTATTAAGCTCGAGAAGAAGAAGAAGAAGAAACCAGAAGAAGGAAATGATGTTCATTCATTCATCGAACAATTACAAAAGAGGAGAAAACTAATATAAATAGTAGGGAATAAAAATTACAATCTGTCTACTCTGTACAACCAATAAACAAATGACATTTGTACAAGTCTAACAAACTCTAATCTACAATATTACACCCTAATACTCTCCCTCAAGGTGGCTTGTAAATGTCCTATACGGCCATCTTGGACAGCAAAGAAAAAAGTTGAGGAGATGGGAGAGGTTTAGTAAACATTTCAGCTAATTGGTGTTGAGGAGATGGGTGAGGTTTAGTAAACATTTCAGCTAATTGGTATTGAGATCTAATGGGAAGCAATTTGAGAACTCCCGAAGTAACTCTGTCACGAATAAAATGGCAATCTATCTCGATATGCTTAGTTTGTTCATGAAAGGTTGGATTAGAGACAATATGTATCGCAGCTTGATTGTCACAATATAGCAAAGCAGGAGAATCAATCTTGACTTAAAAGTCATTAAGAAGAGCAGTAGAAGAAAGAGCTCTATATTCAGCTTCAACTGAGAATCGAGAGACGGTGGTTTGCTTTTTGGCCTTCCAAGAGACTAAAAAGTTGCCAATAAAGATGCAAAAACTTATAGTAAAGCGTTGAGAATCAAGGCATGATCCCCGATCAGCATCAGAGAAGGCTCTCAACTGCAAGGAAGAAGTAGAAGAAAACAACAATCCTTTACCAAGACTTTGCTTGAGATAACGAAGTAGGTGATGCGCTGCCTTGAGATGAGGTAGTCGAGGTTAAGCCAAGAATGAAGTGAGCTTGTGAACGGCAAAAGTAATATCTGGGCAAGATAAAGTAAGATAAAGAAGTTTCCCAACAAGCCGCCTATAGTTGGTTATATCAAGAAGCAGTTCACCTTCAGCGGCGGTTAAACAAAGTTTTGGATCCATTGGAACAGTAGTGGACTCAGCCAAGTATCCAGCATCCTCAAGTAATTGTAAGGTGTAATGACATTGAGAAAGCACAATACCTTGCTTGGATTGAGCAATCTCAAGACCAATGAAGTACTTGAGACAACCAAGATCCTTGAGCTTAAACTGTGTATGCAGAAATTGTTTGAGCCCATCAATAGCTTGAGGTGAAGGACTAGTAAGGATGATATCATCCACATAAACTAGAAGAGCAACAAAAGAGGATCCATGACCTTTTGTGAAGAGAGAGTAATCAGATTTTGACTATAGAAAGCCAAACTTGAGCAAAGCTTGAGAAAATTTTGAATACCATTGTTTCGAAGCTTGCTTGAGACCATAAATGAACTTGTGAAGCTTGCATACTAGTTTGCTTGGAGATGGAGAGGACTCCCCCCGTTGAAGATAGCCGAGAGGGAGATCCATATAGATGTCCTCAAAAAGATCGCCATTTAAAAAGGCGTTGTTGACATCAAGTTGAGCTAGATGCCAATTATGTGAGGCAGCAAGGGCAAGAAGAACCTTCACAGTCACTAATTTTGCCACTGGAGAAAATGTTTCAACAAAGTCTAAACCTTCTTGTTGTGTATAGCCTTTGGCTACCAAACAAGCCTTATGTCGCTCAATAGATCCATATGATTTAAGCTTGATCTTGTAAATCTATTTGCAGTCAAAGGTATGCTTGTCAGGAGGAAGAGAAGTGGTTGTCCAGGTGTTGTTTACTTCCATAGCTTTCAACTCTTCATGCATAGTCAATCTCCATTCAGGAAACTTCACTGCTTGGTGATAGTATTGAGGCTCAACCTGAAAGGATACACTCAGCACAAACTTTTTGTGAGAATTAGAAAGCCCATGATAAGATATTTAGTTAGAGATTGGATAAGTTCTGAAAGTTGAAGCATGAGTAGGAGAGCCAGCAAGTAAATTGCAGTGATAATCCTTCAAGTAATTAGGTGGATGAATTACTCGGGTAGATTTTCGAAGAACAACATCATTAGATGTAGAAGGAATAATTACTGGAATATCATCTACTGGAGTAGGAGCTGTTGAAGTAGAAAGAGCACCAGAGGGAGAAACAATTGGACCCGATGAAGAAACAATGGGAAAATTAGTATCAGGACAATCAAGGGGAAGAGCAGCAGGAACATTAGAAAGAACAGGTGGATCATGAACATGTAAAGAAGCAAAATCTGAAATAAAATGAGCTTGTAATGAAGAATGTGGTAGAACCAAATTTGGAAATGGATCAGTAACTTGATCTGAACTAGTAATAGTATGAAAAGGAAACACTTCCTCATGAAACACTGCATCTCGTGAAAGAAAAACTTGTTTAGTCTCCACATCATAGAATTTATAACCTTTCACACCAGCTGGATAACCAAGGAAATCACAAACTCGAGCACGAGGTTGAAATTTGGTTCGATGAGCAGCTAAAGTGGAAACAAATGCTAAATAGCCAAAAACTCGAAAATGAGTGTAATCAGGGGCTGTTTTGTATAACAAATGAAAAGGTGTGTTGTGCCTCAAAAGTGGAGAAGGAGTTCTGTTGATTAAGAAAACCGCAGTAAGAACACAATCTGTTCAAAAAGAAACTGGAATCTTGGATTGAAAAAATAATGACTGAGCTACATTCAAGAGGTGTTGATGTTTTTGCTCCACAACTGAGTTTTGCTGGGGCCGGTCAACACATGAAAACTGATGCAAAACTCTCTTATCTTGGAAAAATTCAGCAAAAGATAACTCATGTGCATTATCAGATCGAAACATCTTGATTTTGGCATTAAACTGAGTTGAAACCATGTTGAAAAACTTTGCTACCACAGAGACAGCATCAGATTTATTCCTCAATAAATAAACCCAAGTAAAACGAGTGCAATCATCAACAAGAGTCAAGAAAAATCGGTGACCAGTATAAGAAACAATTTGATATGGCCCCCAAATATCACAGTGCACAAGATCAAAAGGAGATTTGGACAAATGATTATTAGATTCAAAAGACAGCCTTTTTTGCTTAGCAAGAGGACAAATATAACAAGGATCCGACTTATGTAATCTAGTTACATCACATTTCAACTGATCTTTCAAAGAATCAAGTCTCTTAAAGGAAATGTGTCCTAGCCTATTATGCCAAATATGAGCGGAAACATTATTGACAAAAGCATTGGAAATAGAATTCAAACACTGAACATTAAGAACATAGAGATCTTGGACTTTGTCACCCCTGCCAATCATCCTCTTGGTTGAAAGATCTTGGATAACAAAGCAGTCAGGAAGGAAACGCATTGTAAGGCTAGACCCAGTAACTAAAGCACTGATTGAGATCAAGTTGAATTTGAATTGAGGGACAAACAATGCATCTTTAAGCACAAGGTCAGAAGTCAGTTTAACATCACCAGCAAAATGGACCAAAATCTGAGAATGATTTGGCAAAGTAACTGTTGTGTGATGAATAGAATGCAAAGAAACAAAGGCATTGGCTTGTGAACAAATATGTCGAGTAGCTCCTGAGTCTACAATCCATAACTGATTGGATGAAATTGGAGGACTCAAAGACACAAAGAAGCAAATACCTGCGAGGCAGTTGGTTTGAGAAGGATCAGGAGTATTGGTGACCTTTGCTGAGTTACTCAAATGTGTAGAAAGTATGGACACTAATTGTTGATATTGATTGGAGTTCAGATTTTGAACAAAACCTCCAAACGAATTAGACTGATCTGGTCTATCATCAGAAGTAGAAACTTGATGAGTAGCAACACTAGAATTGTTGTTGGATCTGAATTTATATCCAGGAGGATATCCATGGATCTTGTAGCAATGATCCATAGTATGTCCAAGAATCTTGCAATGTGTATAATAAGGTCTGTCTCTTTTCTGATTCTTAGAAGCACTGAAAGTAAAATTTTGAGAATTTTGAGAATTTTGAGAACTAGATCCACTAGATTTAGCAACATTTGTTTTAATAGCAAAGGCCAGTGTGCCAGTAGAATTGCTCGAATTAAAGTAAGAATTATTAGTCCTCCTTTGTTGTTCCTCTTGAACAATCAGAGAGAAAACACGATTAATGGAAGGCATCGGATCCATGAGAAGCAACTGACCACGAACTTGAGAGAAAGAATCATCAAGTCCCATTAAGAAGGACATTATGTACTCCATTTGATGATGATTGTTAAGATTTTTAACTCCACCACAAGAACACTTTCCATAAGAACAATTAGGCCAGTAATTACTCAGTTCTTCCCATATAGTTTTTAGCTTTGTGAAGTAAATGCTAACAGAACTCTATTCATGACACAAATTCATCAATTCATGTTTAAGCTGAAAAATTCTAAGTCCGTTCCTCTGTTGAAAACGATCCCTAAGATCTAGCCAAATCTCACGTGCAGAAACAGTAAAAATAATACTTCTAGAAATTTCCCTTGAAACCGAATTCAAGATCCAAGATATAACAATATTATTATTGCGAATCCAGGAGTTGAACAGATTTTCATCAGTACCTTGAGACTCAGGAATGAAACCATCAACAAATCCCAATTTGTTCTTCACAGATAGGGCAATTAACATCGCGCGACTCCAATTGGTATAATTCTCACCAGTGAGCAGCTACGAGACGAGCACTTGTCCAGGACTATCAGAATGATAAAGATAGTAAGGATTTGAAGGTTCTTCAATGGCGGAATGATTCGAATTGGTACGTTCTCCATAATTGGAATCACTCATCGAGGGAAGAGTCGCCATATCGAAGAGAACAAGAAAAATCAACGAAGGAAGAAGAAAACAAGCAAATTTGCAGCGGATCAAATCTGCTCTGATACCATATTAAGCTCGAGAAGAAGAAGAAGAAGAAGAAGAAAAAAAAAACAGAAGAAGAGTGAAGAAGGAAATGATTTTCATTCATTCATCGAACAATTACAAAAGAGGAGAAAACTAATATAAATAGTAGGGAAGAAAAATTACAATCTGTCTACTCTGTACAACCAATGAACAAATGACATCTGTACAAGTCTAACAAACTCTAATCTACAATATTACACCCTAATAAATATAAATAAAATATAAAAAATTAAAATTTCATTCACAACTATGAGAAACTATTTAATTTTTAAATAAATATTGATTATAAAGTCTTAAAATGACAATTATATATTATAAATATTATTCTAGTTTGATATGTTTCTTTAGGCCTCAGTCAGTACTTTCAAAATAAAATTTTGAGTAATAATAAGTAAGAAAATATAAGTAAGAACGCGAATTAGTCTTGAATTTGTGAATTTTGTAAAATGAGAGCATGAATTCACGGAAATTTTGTTGCCATAGTTCGAAAGAGTGGGAGAGCGTTAGGAGTTTAGAAGGATTATATGACTAAGGGTTGAAGAACTGTACGGAGGCACTCTGATCCTTAATCAATAAGAGGAATGTAGTGAATGAGTTCATTGGGATTGAATGATTCACTTTAGATCATACTAGAGTTATCTCATCTAGCATTAAACCGCTGTGGGTCTTTATTCTAATTAGCTAAGCTCTTTGATCTGGTATCAATCTTTATGAATCATGAGGACAGATAGCTCTGATTTATGCAATCTATCCTACTTGGTTTATCTCAACAATTTGACAATCCTCATCTTTTCATAAGACAGATCTACAGCTGAGCTGGCTGCTCGATACCTAAATTAGTATATAGCTCATCACAAGTTAATTGGTTGGGGATACACTTCTCACTGCTCGGCTTGAGCTAGGAGCAGTTTGCACACTTGTTTGCCTGTTCAGCATCATGAATCTTACAGCCTTCGATGTTAGCTGGTCAAGGTTTTTCCCTCGCTGACCTGAGGTACTCTGGGCAGTTGCATCTGTTCATTGCCACTAGTCAGGCTTAGTTCACAAGGTCTTGGACAGGTACCATACTATTATGGGGCGTCATTCTGAGCTCATTGAACAACTTTGTTATTGTTTTCATTTCCTTTGCTTTTCAGAGGTCAAATTGAATAAGGCTTTCTTTTTTCTTCTCAATGCTTTCAACAATCAGACTACTTTATCTGCAGTTCCACCCAAAAAAATGAATGATACAATAAAAATAATTTGTCTGTGCAACATATCTACTTTCACTTAATAAAAACCAATAAAATGCAAAATCGTTTTAAGTGCTTTATCCTTCTTCTGTGTTGATATTGAGGCAGTGCTATTTTTTTTATGAAAATGCTGCCTTATTCAGGAGATGATTACAAGATCAAGGTGTGGAATTACAAGTTGCATAGGTGTTTGTTTACCCTTCTTGGACATCTAGACTACATTCGTACGGTTCAATTTCACCATGAGTACCTTGGATTGTTAGTGCGAGTGATGATCAGACTATCAGGATATGGAATTGGCAGTCTCGTACTTGTATTTCTGTGTTGACTGGACACAACCATTATGTGATGTGTGCCTTGTTCCATCACAAAGACGACCTGGTTGTTTCTGCTTCCTTGGATCAAACTGTTCGTGTTTGGGATATTGGTGCTCTGAGGAAGAAAACAGTATCCCCTGCTGATGACTTCCTTCAGTTGAGTCAGATGAACACGGATTTCTTTGGTGGAGTTGACGCCATTGTTAAGTATGTCTTAGAGGGCCATGACCGAGGAGTCAACTGGGCCTCATTTCATCCCACTCTTCCTCTAATTGTTTCTGGAGCAGACGATCGCCAACTGAAAGTATGGCGAATGAATGGTATGCTTGCAAAGATCTTGTCTTCTTCTTTTCCTCAAGCTCTATTTTTTCTCTCACCTTATAGTACTAGTTTGCCCTTAAGATATAAGTTACTAGTTCAGATTGACTGAGCAACAGTATGGGTCCAACTGGAGACATGCAATCGGTTTGAAATGGTAGAGAAGAGTTGCATTCCCCCACCAAGGATGACAGGCAATCAATTTTTTTAATGCATGATATGGTGCACCTCTTTGACTAGATTATATTGATATACGAAACAATTTATACTCATTCCCAAAAATAAGCTTCAATTTTAATTGGTGGAAAACACTAACCAATTTTAGGACAATTGATGCAATACAGTAGTTTAAGAGCATCTTTTATTGGCACTCAAGCTTTCTGTGTCATATATCCTTCTGTTTTTTTTGTTGTTTAAATTATCTATTGTTTCTCACAAATAGACAACTACATTGAGAATTGCTGGAAATGATCAAATGTTAGATCCCATTTAAATGACGTATTCTAGTCAGAAGCCTCACGCCACTTTAATAAACTTATAATTGGATATTTGAGTTTGATGTCATGGTGTTACAAGTCATGGCATTAGCATTGGTGGTTTCTATATCATTATCTTCGTGGGAGATGAAGACAGAGGAAGTTGATTGTATTTTATGTTGTTGTCTTATTCAAAAATAAAAAAAGAAAAAGGTGATGGTAACTAGCAGCACGATCCATCGCCAAGGAGAGTGGTGTTCTTTTTCTTCCTTTTTCTCTGTTTTTCTGTTGGGGGATGTACACTGTATAATGACCAGTTGCATCAGTAATGAGCTCACAGCCGTGCTATCTAAGCTGTGATCCTTTGTTATTTTCTATGTTTAGAAGCATTTCTTTGTCTGTTTTTGGTGGTTTGCCTCTTAGTTTTCATTTGCATGTTCTTGATCTACCAACACTCAGTTGCATTTCTTTTGTTTTCTTCCCCTCCTTTCCCTTCTTTTGGAAACAGGAACCCTTTCTTAATAAAAGCACTTTAAAATTAGTTATCCGAATGCTCTGTAGGCCATTAAACTATTCAAGATCACCTTGCTTAATCGGCTAAAAACCAGAAGTAAGAATATTCTCTTGAATAATATCCAAGAAACAAACATTATTTAGTTTCGGCTGTTTTTTATTACACATTTCTTTTGCCATTTTAAGGTGGTAGAAATTTCAAGAATGGAACTACTTAATGGGGTTCAATCGACATTATTTTCAGATACAAAAGCTTGGGAAGTAGACACCTTGAGAGGGCACATGAACAATGTTTCATGTGTTTTTTTTCATCCAAGGCAGGATCTAATCATGTCTAATTCAGAAGATAAAAGTATTCGTGTGTGGGATGCTACAAAAAGGACTGGCCTTCAAACTTTTTGTAGGGAGCATGATAGGTTTTGGATTCTTACGGCTCATCCTGAGCTGAACCTTCTGGCAGCTGGTCATGATAGTGGCATGATAGTTTTCAAGTTGCAGAGAGAGTGTCCTGCTTTCTCTGTGAGTGGTGATTCTGTTTATTATGTGAAAGACCGTTTTCTGCGCTTCTATGAGTACTCAAGTCAGAAAGACACTCAAGTAATACCAATCCGTAGGCCTGGTTCCAATAGCTTGAATCAAAGCCCTAGAACTCTTTCTTATAGCCCTACTGAGAATGCTGTTTTGATCTGTTTGGATGGAGATGGAGGATATTATGAACTTCATATTGTTCCTAAAGACAGCTTTGGTAGAGTTGACACTGTTCAAGAGGCCAAAAAAGGTCCTGGAGGATCAGCAATTTTCATGGCTCGAAATAGGTTTGCTGTGCTTGAGAAGAGCAGCAACCAAATTTTAGTCAAGAACCTTAAAAATGAGATTGTCAAGAAGAGCTCACTCCCTGTTGTTGCCGATGAAATATTCTATGCTGGTACTGGAAATTTGCTATGCAGGACAGAGGACAAAGTAGTCATTTTTGACCTCCAACAGAGGATTGTCCTGGAGGATCTTCAAACTTCTACGATTAGGTATGTTATTTGGTCAAGTGACATGGAAAGTGTTGCTCTGCTAAGNAAGGACAGAGGACAAAGTAGTCATTTTTGAACTCCAACAGAGGATTGTCCTGGGGGATCTTCAAACTTCTACGATTAGGTATGTTATTTGGTCAAGTGACATGGAAAAGTGTTGCTCTGCTAAGCAAACATTCTATAAGTATAGCTGATAAAAAACTTGTNATCTGTTTGGATGGAGATGGAGGATATTATGAACTTCATATTGTTCCTAAAGACAGTTTTGGTAGAGTTGACACTGTTCAAGAGGCCAAAAGAGGTCCTGGAGGATCAGCAATTTTCGTGGCTCGAAATAGGTTTGCTGTGCTTGAGAAGAGCAGCAACTAAATTTTAGTCAAGAACCTTAAAAATGAGATTGTCAAGAAGAGCTCACTCCCTGTTGTTGCCGATGAAATATTCTATGCTGGTACTGGAAATTTGCTATGCAGGACAGAGGACAAAGTAGTCATTTTTGACCTCCAACAGAGGATTGTCCTGGAGGATCTTCAAACTTCTACGATTAGGTATGTTATTTGGTCAAGTGACATGGAAAGTGTTGCTCTGCTAAGCAAACATTCTATAAGTATAGCTGATAAAAAACTTGTGCACCGTTGCACTCTTCATGAGACCATTCGTGTCAAGAGTGGAGCCTGGGATGATAATGGTGTCTTCATATATACAACCCTGACGCACATTAAATACTGCCTTCCTAACGGGGACAGTGGAATCATTAGAACCCTTGATGTCCCAGTATACATCACTAAGATATTTGGAAATACAATCTTTTGCTTGGACCGAGATGGGAAAAACCGTCCCATTATTATCGACTCCACTGAATATATGTTCAAGCTGTCTCTGCTGAGGAAGAGATTTGACCAGGTTATGAACATGATCAGGAGCTCGGAGCTCTGTGGACAAGCTATGATTGCATATCTCCAGCAAAAAGGTTTTCCCGAAGTTGCACTGCATTTTGTAAAGGATGAGCGAACTCGGTTTAACTTGGCACTAGAAAGTGGGTACATTCAAATAGCCGTTGCTTCTGCAAAGGAAATTGATGAGAAAGATCACTGGTATAGGCTGGGGGTGGAGGCCCTTCGTCAGGGTAATTCAGGTATTGTAGAATATGCATACCAGAGAACAAAGAACTTTGAGCGTCTATCTTTCTTTATCTGATCACCGGAAATTTGGACAAATTGTCCAAAATGATGAAAATTGCAGAGGTTAAGAATGATGTTATGGGTCAGTTCCATGATGCTTTGTACCTTGGTGATATCCGGGAGCGTATTAAGATTCTGGAGAATGCTGGTCATCTGCCGCTTGCATACATCACATCCACTGTACACGGTCTTCATGATGTTGCTGAACATCTTGCTGCTGAGTTGGGAGATAATGTTCCTTCTTTGCCCAAGGGGAAGTCAGCTTCTCTTTTGATGCCACCAAGTCCCATCTCGTGTGGTGGAGATTGGCCCCTATTGATGGTCATGAAAGGGATCTTTGAGGGTGGTCTTGATAATACGGGAAAGGGTGGACATGAAGAATATGAAGAAGCTGCAGACGCTGACTGGGGTGAGGATTTGGAGATTGTTGATGTGGAAAACATGGGGAATGGATATCCGTATGCTGCTGGAAGGTGATGAAGTGCATGAAGAAAACGATGAGGGTGGATGGGAACTTGAGGATCTTGAACTTCCGCCCGATGCTAATACGCCAAAGATTAACACCCATGGACTTTCTTCAGTATTTACTGCCCCAACACCAGGTATGCCAACAAGCCAGATTTGGGTCCAAAAATCATCTCTCGCTGCTGAACATGCAGCAGCTGGAAATTTTGACACTGCAATGCGTTTGCTGAACCGGCAGCTAGGAATAAGGAACTTTACACCGTTGAAACAGTTATTTATTGATCTTCACATGGGCAGCAATACCTACTTACGTGCCATTTGCTCCGCTCCAGTAGTATCCATGGCGATTGAAAGGGGATGGAGTGAGTCATCAAGTCCTAATGTGCGTTGGCTGCCTACACTGGTGTTCAATTTCTCCCAGTTGGAAGAGAAGCTCAAGGCTGGGTACAAGGCCACAACTGGTGGGAAATTTACTGAAGCTTTGCAACTTTTTCTATCGATTCTGCACACAATACCTCTTATTGTGGTTGAGGCACGTAGAGAGGTGGATGAAGTCAAGGAACTGATTGTCATTGTAAAGGAGTATGTTTTAGGTTTGCAGATGGAACTTAAGAGAAGGGAGTTGAGGGACAATCCCGTTCGTCAGCAGGAGCTGGCAGCCTACTTCACCCACTGTAACCTTCAGCTGCCTCATTTGAGACTTGCTCTGTTGAATGCTATGACTGTTTGCTACAAGGCAGGTAATCTCAAACTAGCGGGTAACTTTGCTAGGCGAATCTTGGAGACAAATCCAAGCGCTGAAAACGAAGCTAGAACCGCCCGCCAAGTTCGGCAGGCTGCCGAGAGGAACATGAGAGATGTTAACCAACTGAATTATGACTTCAGAAATCCTTTTGTGGTGTGTGGGGCGACATACATTCCTATATACCGAGGACAGAAGGATGTCACATGCCCTTACTGCAGTTCACATTTTGTTCCCTCGCAGGAAGGGCAGCTTTGTCCTGTGTGTGATCTTGCAGTGGTTGGATCTGATGCGTCTGGATTATTATGTTCTCCTTCCCAGATCGGATGATCTGAAATTCGTCCCATGGATAGGTCAAGCTGGTTCATTAATCTAACAAAAAGGTGGGAGTATTAGACTGCGAGGTGTGTTTTTAATCAGATTGTAAGTTCTGTTCTATTTTTTGTTTGATTTGTACAGTCAAGTTTCAGCCCCTTCTTCTTTGTCCATTTTAGTTTTGGGGTTTACGATCTTTCTTTTTAATAAACCGTGTAAGAATTTTGACATAGGCTATACATGTGAGAATTTTAGTATATATCAGGTGAGGTATCAAATTCATTGCTCACTGTGAGTTTTGTCAATCTGGAACTTGAAGTCATGACCTTTGTTTTGTATTAATTCCGTTCCATTACTATTGACTTTAGTTTATAAACATAACGTCGTGAAGGTGTTGAGGAAGTTTAGTATTGTTGTGGCCTTTTAGAGAGGAGCACATTACAATTACTGAGAATGAATTAGAACTCGAACTCGAACTCGATTTTTTTAAGATAAATCTTGGCATCGGCTTAATTAGATGAATGTGAATCTCTCTCTCTCTCTCTCTCTCTGTGTCAAGGTGGATGAAAATTCAGAGATCTGTCCTAGCCTGTAACAGAAAATAGGCCCAATAGGCTTTTCATGTCATTTCATCTAACACAGATTTATTTCCATAATTGACTCCAAAACGTATCGTTCAATGCCAAGGCCCAAACAACATTAGTCATTGGATCAACCACAGAAAGGAAGAGTCCCAAAGTAAAAACCCTCTTACATTCCTTGATTTTCAAGGGCATGTTTGTCCCAAATGACAGGTTGAAAGACATAAACTTTTATTAGGAATGATGATGTTAGGGTTGTGAAAAAGTGAATAGTAGGCAAGAGACTAGGAGTCCTGGGACCCACCCTTTAACCATATTATTATGACTGATAACGGCCAACACACCCATAATATTATGCTCAAAGAGAAACCTAGCTATATAGTCTGCAAGAATCGGTACATATAACAAATCGATATATTGAATTTCAATTTGTCATCATGTTCCCCACCATGGGGGGCCATTGGGACCCACTCTAAGTTAAAAGTGGACCCACTGCTTCATGTATTTGATTGGGACCCCCCCTCCCCCTCAACATCAATATCACCGTTCTTATGAAGGTGACATGAGAAACTAGTTTTCCTCCCGAGATACTACTCAACTAATGTGTGTGTATATATATATATATTTTTTTTTTATTTTTTTTTTTGAGAAAATGTAAAACATTGTATAAGAAATTATAACCAAAATTTAAATACACGTAATCACTTGTTAATCTCTTGCATTTGTAAAATTCGAACTCTAAAAAAATAAGAAAACTCAAATTTAGGTATAGACAAGCTTAAGTTTGCCCATTATTTTACAAGTGAGATGGCTTCACATAAAAAGCTGTAAATATATGTTAGTTAACATCAGTAGTGATCAGCCAGTTTTGAAGACTGATAGTGACTACCAACCTCCTTTGATCAATAAGAAATAACAACCCTAGTGTCATTACTGATCCCTCATTCACTAACCTCGTTGAAAACAGCTCATAGAGTAGGTAATTCACTGCCATCCATGTGATTTAACAGTAGGCTTTAATTACATGGTGTATCCATTCAACACATAATAGTTTTAGGTACCCAATCTTCAATAATGGCTTAATTTTTAGCTATATATATGCAGTTGATTTATGTGTAATATTGATTATGAAAATAATAAAGTAAAAAAAATAATAAAATACGACAATTTTATGTGTCATATTATTGTTGAATAAAAAATAAAAAAAATGATACCAAAATTTAAAATCTCCATACTATTTGTAAAACGCTTCAGCACATAGAATTGGATGAATTTTTTTCATGGTAGGTAGAGATATATTCATTAAATTACATTACGCCTTGAACAAATTGAGTTATAACTTTGGAATCAATTTCGAAAACTTTAGAGGTCATAGAATTGTAATCCAACCATCTAAATCATAACGATAATTGATGTTGGCTATTTTTTCCTTACATTGCACAATAATGCAATTAAGAATGATAGACCAATTTTTTTTTGGTTTAATTAAAATATTTAATGGAATAAAAAAGACATACATAATGAAATCGTAACCATAAAATACGATGACTTAAGTGAAACGATGGTAAAATCTCGAATCGTAATGCTTACAAAAGAGTTAATACCATTCTAGAGAAATGATTGTTAGAATTTTGCAAGTCAATTTTCATTTTTAAGTAGGCTAGCTACTGGTAGTGACAATCAGTTGTAATGTGATAGAGACCAACTTTGAGGACAGAAATAAAATGGAATACGAATTCGTCATTCACTGGAGTCAGTTACCTTAAATGAAACTTCCATTATAGCATAGGTCGAAACCCAACCATACTAGGTTTCCTTTGGGAACCAAGACTTAATTAATTGAGAGAGTGAGTCCGAGAGGGAAGGTTCTTTGTTCTATTAGGCTTAGTGCTTTGCGGTCCTAACTACATTTTTTGATCTGTAAACTCCCATGCAGCCTGACTGGGGATCTTTTTCCTGTTGCTGTGTACGTAGTCGGCTGGAAGAGCTTTGTGGCCAAAACCCTAAAAAAGTTTTCCGAGTCTCATTATTATTTTTGTAAAAATGAAAAATCATTACAATTACCAATCATTTTTTCTTGAAAGTATGACACCAACTACATTTGCACATTTTCAACCGTAGAGAATAAACCTACGTGGGGTAACAAACTATTCCAATTACTTGAACTGAAATATTTAAAATATAGTATTGTAGACTTAGTTTGGATACCATACCTTTTTTTATTATTATTAAATCAATGTGGAGTAATAAGAGTTTATTATTTAGTCATTTCACTTTTTTTAATATTATGATCAATTACCAAGATATTCATTATTCTTTTTCAATATGTTATTAAAAGGTAAATTTGGTAGCATAACATTATCCCTACTGGAAAAACCTTACTGTCGTTTGCAATTTGAACTTTATAACCATTTTAGTTAAGAGTGTTCACCCTACCTTATAGGTAGAAAATATGGTCTTTCATCTTCCTATTCGATATTTTGCGGAAGAATTTTTTCTTACCTTACCATACCCAATCAAGTATAATATTCCTACCCGCATTCCGTCCAAATTAATGAGATAGAAAATTGCGTGAAACACATTTTTTTAGGTATTAATTTTTAGATCATTTTAACAATTCAATTAAGTAATATGCATCAATTTAACAACACAATAAATTAATAACACTAAAATTTAAAATAATTACAACAACAATTATAATAAAACACAAGAAAGCCCAATGCATAAACATCAATCTATCATAATTGTTATACAAATACAACAACAATTATTTTAAGTTTAAATCATATGAAACACATCAAAAATCATAACTGCTTTGATATATATATATATATGTGTGTGTGTGTGTGTGTGTGTGTAAATAAATATAAATATGCAAGTAAGATAAGGTTGAAATACAGAAATTTAATGGACATTTCGCATTCCTACTCAATTTTATCGGCATACCAAAAAATCTTCTGTATTTCTACTTAATTTTTTTAGTCAATCGATAAATAAAATTGAGTAGAATCAAGTAAAATAAAAAATTACAAATAATCAAAAATTTGAACAATTTAATTTCAACTGCTACCGAAATAGTAACTGTAAGGTAATTAAATTACCATTATTACTAATAATTATATTATTGTGTGCACAGATTTCTGAAAAAACATATTATTATGTGCATGGGAATAACGCGTTTTGTTAAACGGGGACGGGGGGATGATTGGATTCTGATAAAAAGAAAAGGGAAATAGGAGGGGAGGGGGCGAGTCAACCGCGGGATAAAGCTGAGCACATGGCTCGAGAAGAGAGAATGAAATAAAGGCGTACAGCACAATTATTGGGACTCGCACACGTCCATTACCATTCTCACCACCCAATTCTTTGTCTACTTGATTGATTCAAAGCACTAACACTTTAATTTTACCTTCTCTTTTTTTTTTTTCAACACCGAAGGTATTCAAATTAATTTATATATATCTCAATTAATTTTTAATTTAATCCGATCAAAAGTGAAGTATGTCATTAGTACCGAGATTAAAATATTCATAAAAGATAATTTTTTTATAATTTAATATTAAAAAATTATTAAAATTCAAACTCATTACGTTTGAATTTATAAATTATCATTTTTATCACTTGAGCTAACCCTTATCATTTTACAAGTATAGTATCATTTTTATCATTTTTAAAATTCAAACTTATAATTTATGATGCCATTCTTATTCATTAGATATCATTCTTTCTCTATTATAATTAGGACTCTCAATTGGGTCGCACAAGTCCGAAACTCATTTGACACGTTAATTATAAACAATTCGTATACATTCAAATTCAAGATAACTTTTTAAACTCGAGTTGTATTTAGGTTGATTTTGACGTATAGTACTTCATTTTTTTCTTTCTTTTTTTAATGCGATGTAATTTAAAAAATACTGATCACATGGACAAGCCCAAGTTAAAGGGAGACAAGGGACAAATATAAATAAGTTGTGATTACTCTCCAAGATCCTACACAAAGATAGATAGCTAAAATTTTGTTTATTTAAATTGCATAAATTTCTACCCAAGATTAAAGTTTGAGAGTAACACAGAGAGAAAGGGCATCAGATTCAGTGATGTCTAGGAGAAGAGGCAGCCATAGCCATGCCTTGTAGTCAACAGTAAAAGGGTAATCTTGGCTTTTAGCAGATTTTATATATAAAAGGATGATCATATAATGAAGAATATATCTATATATATATATATATNTACATAATGAAATCGTAACCATAAAATACGATGACTTAAGTGAAACGATGGTAAAATCTCGAATCGTAATGCTTACAAAAGAGTTAATATCATTCTAGAGAAATGATTGTTAGAATTTTGCAAGTCAATTTTCATTTTTAAGTAGGCTAGCTACTGGTAGTGACAATCAGTTGTAATGTGATAGAGACCACCTTTGAGGACAGAAATAAAATGGAATACGAATTCGTCATTCACTGGAGTCAGTTACCTTAAATGAAACTTCCATTATAGCATAGGTCGAAACCCAACCATACTAG